TATATATATATATATATATATATATACATATATATAGGTACTATACAGGATGTTCCAGGACCTATATATTTTTTCAAGTTATGAACATTACAGGATAGATTAAGATAGAGTTATGATCAATAAGAATAAAGTATTTAATAAAAATCTTAATGAATTAGGCATTTAAAATTTAATAGACAAGAGAAACATTTAATTTTAACTTTAATTTTACACAACTTTAATTTTAACAGAAATTTACTTGATTACAAATTTAACTTAAAACTTGATATTTAAAATTTAAATACATATTTAAATATATATTATATTATAATATTATACACGGAGAGAATTTTGTTTTAAATTTATCCTGCAAATCATGTTAATTGTATAAGTACAATATAGTATTAAGGCAAATTTTACTGTGCACTACAATAAATTTTACTATGTACAACAATAAGATTTTACAGTAAAATTTATTGTAGTGCACAGTAAAATTTGCCTAAATACTATATTGTCTCACAATTAACATGATTTGCAGGGTAAATTGAAAAAAAATCTCTCCGTGTAGATACAGTTTTTAATATATTTAAAACGTTTATACACGTCTTCTGTAAAGTATTATGTATGTGTTAAGGAAAAGCTCACTTTTCAAAAATCAAAGTCATGAAATTTATAAATAGAAAAGTTGTGTGTGTGTGTGTGTGTGTTTTGTTTATAATGGTTCTCAGCCATTTGATATACATATAACGCAATTTTTGGCATTATATGATGCGCATGCAAACACATGAAGCTTTTTTCGTTTAACTAAATCTGTTAGTTATTTATTCCGAAATTTTAATTATATTATTTATAATAATTAGTTGATTGTATACGATTATGAAATATTTTATACATGTGTTTCTTTTTTCATCTTTTAACTAATTGTTATAACTGTTATTGTTATTAGTAGCATCCAAATTTTCGCACCTGTTTACTAGCAATGATTTCCGGGTGTTTTCTGTTTTGTGTAATTCGCACCTAAGATCGTTGTATACGTCAGAAATATACTTTTAAACAGAATTGCGAAATTACATTTTGCGTATATTGTAACATTACGGTTATTGTCGCATTAATGTTGACTCTGAGGAATATTTTCGAAATTATTTGGTAAGATGATTGACAACTTATTGTAGACAGATCTTCGCACAGTCTACCAAATCACTGCTGCGATCTGTGCATCGAATCTGGCCAAAAAGGCCAAAAAGACACGAAACACGCTCGAAAGATCGCAGCTTATTTAAACTTCTATACAATTTTTATACAAATCCTCATTTCCCATTACATTCACTTATTTCAATGCAATATTCCTTTCCAATTCGCATATTTATAATTCACACAATTAACTTCTTTACTAAAATGATATAATAAGTATGACCTTAGTTAAATTATTTGCCGATACTTTAATATTTAATTTAATTAGAGCGTTAGTTTTAGCGAGTGAGTTAGAATTACGTAGAATAGAATAGAGTCTTGATACATTAAAAAAATTATGTTCGGTATAAAGTAACTTACATCGGACTTGTGAAATAGCTAAAGAATACTTTAATAATATGCGTGCAAGAAAATTTGCTCTTAAAATATCTTTTCTAAATATTCTAGACATCACATTCTCATAGAATATAGTACGTACAATAATAGAATGTAGTAGAGAATCGATTAGCTTCCGAATATATATCGTAATTTATTGTGATTTGTTTTTATAATTCGCGAGTAATGGAAAATTATTTTATCGAACATTGACTCGTGAGCTGTTACACAACGATCTTTTAAACAAATAATGCTTTTAACAATCTATAAATGTATGACTTTTATGACGTATTTGATACACGAAAGATAAATAATAGGTAGAACAAATTACACTGAGTTAACATTAAATAACATGAGCTAATAAATCAAAAAGTATACATTAATCCTTTCCATATGATTATGTTAAGCGAGTTAGTATAGCGATTAATTTTCGAAAATATCAACTTGATATTAGATCGTGCGTAGCGAAGGTAGGATTATTTTGTTCATGTCGAATGTATCAGCGCGTTAGTTCTTTGCTGATCTATAATGTCGCCTTCGATAATTTTCTCCTGTAGACGACTGGCCGATGAAGATGACGAGCTGTCGGAGGTGCAGCCAGATGCGGTGCCACCGGAAGTGCGCGAGTGGCTGGCATCGACTTTCACTAGGCAGCTCGCCACCACCAGGCGGAAAGCTGATGAGAAACCAAAATTCCGTTCAGTTGCTCACGCTATAAGAGCAGGCATATTCGTCGATCGGATTTACAGGAGGGTCACGAACACCGCCCTCATGCAATTTCCGCCGGAAGTCGTGAAAGTACTTAAGGTAATCCGTCAGCGAGTCACGCGGTTAGAGAGTACTCGCGTTTTTATATGACAATTAATTTTTAACAAATATAAATATATCACGATGTAAAGATATGAATATATTGAATTCAAGATATTGAATTCTAGAAAATTTGGAGTAGTACACAACACGCCTAACTATTTACAAACACTTATTTTTTACATCTCGGTGATTCTAATTTATACAGTTTCATTTTTAATTAGAAATTACTGATTTCTTTATCTCAAAATTAGTCTCAAGAAAACGAGAATTTTAAATAAATCAAAAATCAATCAGATTATATATTATTAAAGAGATTATTTATTATTAAGATCGAGAGTTGTTGAAATTTTAAATATTTAAATTACTTCCTTTATCTTTCAAGACTTTAGATGATTGGTCGTTCGATGTATTTTCTTTGAATGAGGCCGCTCTGGGCACGCCAGTGAAATACCTGGGCTATGACCTCCTCAATCGATATGGTATGATTCACAAGTTTAAAGTACCTCCCGTAGTTTTGGAGTGCTTTCTCGGAAGAGTCGAGGAGGGTTATTGCAGGCATCGAAACCCATACCACAACAACCTCCACGCTGCAGATGTTGCGCAAACGATGCATTACATCTTGTGTCAAACAGGTTTGATGGTGAGTAATTTCTCTGAGAGAGAGAAAGAGAGAGAGAGAGAGAGAGAGATGTTATAAATACATGTGTATAGTATTTTTACGATATATTAGGATATAATTTACCATTAGCGCGAGTAAAAATTTCTCGAAAATAGAAATAGAGTGTGTGTGTGTATGTGTGTTAATATAATCTTGTTTGACAATCTCTTTGTCTAAACAAAAGGAAAAAATCGTGTAAAATGCAGCGCAAGTAATGAAAAAGAAATCTCAATCGGTTCATTAAAGCTCGAGTCGTTAGTTTGACAAAAAGAAGGGATCCTTCTTACTCACTTCGGTTTGATTCTTTACCATTCTTTTGACGATCTTTTGTTCGATATGTATTGTACGCGAAATAGTTTCAGGCTAATATTATTCATTGCAGAATTGGCTGACCGATCTCGAGATTTTCGCCACCCTTGTGGCAGCGATTATTCATGATTACGAGCATACTGGGACCACAAACAATTTCCACGTAATGTCCGGTAGTGATACAGCGCTTCTATATAACGACCGTGCCGTACTAGAAAATCATCACATCTCGGCCAGCTTCCGGTACGCGTGCAAATTCCATTTGGCAGTTGCTATTGCTGTCTCAGACAGTTTGTAGTTTGTGTGTTTAGATTTCTTATCTTAGATAATCTTATCTCAAAAAAAAAAATTACTTTGCATAAAATATTAAAGTTAAAAATTTCGTAATAATTCTTACAAATATATAATAAAATTAAACTCTTAAAAATTTGTAATATCTACGATTAATTTTTTTCCTTATTATAGAAGTAGAATAGTAGAATTATACATATAATATCTCATATATAGTGATATGCCATTGCTCTTCAATATAATTGCGGGTTTTAGGATACTCAGAGAAGATGATTGTAATATACTGCAGAATCTGTCCAGAGAGGAATTTCGAGAATTTCGATCGCTCGTAATTGATATGGTTCTTGCCACCGACATGAGTTTTCACTTTCAGCAGCTAAAAAATATGAAAAATTTATTAACTTTGGCAGAGCCAAGCGTGGATAAGAGCAAAGCCGTTAGCTTGGTCCTCCATTGCTGCGATATCTCGCATCCCGCCAAAAGATGGGATCTTCATCATAGGTGAAGCCTTTTACTCAAAGAGAATGTTAATGATATTTTTTTATTTCAATTTTGGAACATAGTCTGCTAGAAATTATTATAGATCAGACAACAAAATCATTTTTACAAAATTGTTATGTAGGTACCTACAATTTTCAAAGCTAATTGTAAGTAAAAAGATAAAAGGAAAATTGTAATAAAATAAAAAACCATAGTAAAGATTTCTCCTCTATTGATTTATATTCTAATGAAAGCAAAAGCAAAGCGATACATTATAACAATACATGGATAATGTTTCTAAATTCTCAATTCTGCAGATGGACGATGCAACTTCTTGAAGAGTTTTTCAGACAAGGTGATAAAGAGAGAGAGCTTGGATTGCCATTTTCTCCTCTATGCGACCGCAATAATACGCTGGTAGCTGAATCTCAAATAGGATTCATAGAATTCATTGTCGAGCCTAGCATGCAAGTATGCAGTGACATGCTGGAAACCGTCCTCGCGCCGCTCAATGTCAAGGATACCACGGATGAACCCAACAACGGTAAGACTTTTTTTTAGCAGAGACATGCTGTGTCTTCTGGAAAATTTCACTTTTCCATAGATTGTTAAATAACAATTATCTAATAATGACGTTGCAGGTTCGGGAGGAGAAAATAGAAGATTCAAGATTGGCAAACCTTGGATTCCCTGTCTCGCAGAGAATAAAAAAATCTGGAAGGAACAAGCAGTCCGAGGTATTATTGCAAGTAAATTTAAATATTATTTAATCAATCATAAACAAAATTAATCACTTTTTAACAAAGAATTTTTAATGAAGAAAACATAATTATGAGAACTTTGTCGTTAAGTGCAGTTTATTTAGTTAATCATCATTTTTTTAAAATAAGATTGACAAAATACAACGGATTACTATTTTATTTGCAGACGCAGAAGCCAAAGCACAAAAGGAACAAGAACAAAAGGCTAGCAGTAATCGCGAAGATGGCAAAGGAGCGCAAGCTCCAGCCGAAGAATGAAAGATACATCGGACGATTGTATTTTTCAAGAGTCTCTGTAACTTTAAGTTACAGGGAAGTTCGTGATCGCACATTAGATGTGACATCTATCATAAGGACTTACATACACACGGATTTCTTATTACGCTTACGAATGATAGCCAAGCGTCATTCGGTAGTACAAATAGACATACGGACATTAGATAAGTGGAAATGGAACGATCTATACACAAAAATAATATAAAATATGTTGGGGAATAATTTGTTTAGATTGACACCAAAGACCCTAATCATATATTTGTCCTGCTAATTTTGTAGAATATTCATAGAATATATCTCAACTGATTGTTTTTTATAGTTCCATATACACATAATTCTATTTGATCTCATTACATTAGTTACAACGCTCCTCCAAGTAATCACCATCGATATCACTTGATTAAACATTTGTTGTCAATTCTAAAGGCTTTTTAGGAAACAAAATAAATTCGCGCTTTTAATTTTAATTTTAAATGAGATATTTTTGATTAACAATTTGACATCTTAAAATTCCTCTAAATTATATTTATAAATGGATGAAAATATATGATTATATATAATATACGGTCAAAAAATTGATAAAAGAAAAGTATAAATTATGAATCACAATATGAATTATATATTACGATTATTTCGCACAAACAGATCGTGAATCATTCGTACTCTTTTATTATTTTTTAATTAAGCAGGGCAAGAATTGATGTAACTGCAGAGAGTCTAAAATCAAGTGTATATACTTGCAGAAGTCGTATACTTTCTAAAAAGAAAGAGCACCCTCAAAACACAAGCACAGATCAAATAACAAGAGAGAGAAACTTATTAATATCAACAAGTGAAGAATTTAAGAATTCTATTTAAGAAGATTATTTCAAGTTGTACTTTTTTTCAACGCTAAAATAAGTAAAATAAGTAAATGTTATTTATTCCATCGAGTGAAGTCTGTCGAACCTTTCTTCATACCGATATAACGATATAATTAAATCGTATCTTTCCTAAAGAGCAAAATATATTTCAACTGTTTTAAGGAAAATAAACGGAAATCAATATTTTTTGTTAAAACTTAAAGAAAGTCTAATGATGCAAGTTGCAGAAATATTTGGCATGCATAATATTACAATTGCAATTCATAATGGCTATTTTCTTTTACTTCCACATATTTTTAAACATATGATAATTATCGACGGTGATTACGCAAGATTTGTATTTATTGGATAAGAATCTCAGAAACTTAACGCATCGATTTTTTTTACTATTTACTATTTATACTTGCCGCACAAGAATATGAATATTACACAAGATAGAATTTTTGAATTTATTTTGCAAACTTATTTATTTTTATAAATTAAAGAAATTTTTTGTGAATAACCGGGGCCTGAGGTTTTCAATGCAAAGTTTTTTTTTTGCAAATGTAGAGTGCAAAATGTTTGTGACAGACCACTTGGAGACTTGGGAACGTCAATCCCTCTCGTTCACGTGTTTATTAATTAGTCGCGGCAAAGAGATCTATAGGAGCAAAATATTCTTGTACATACCATTTGTTAGATGTGTATTCGTATACACGTACTGGTTCAGCTTTAATGTATGTGTATGTAATGTATAAAGACAAACAAATAACAAATATGACTAGTGTTTAGTTTAATTAACGTATATGCGTATTGCATATTCCGTGTATATGTACATATATATATGTATATATACAAAAGAAAGAGAAAGAAAATATTATTTTGTTGAATTCCTCGCGATAAAGCGGCTGTAGAATGTACAATATATTAGCGCGCATGTTAGCGATGCACATACGTCCGTATTTAAGTTTGTAATTAAACATATCCATGAACGAATGCGCATTACTCTTGAAAACGCATAAATTCTTGATATAATGACAGACAGTTGCCATTGTATCAATGCGTCATTATCATCCTATGTCATACGCGTAAAGGAATCGGAGGCTTCGGCGTAATAAAAGATTCATAATTCTTTGTCTCTGTTTTTTTTCTTGTCGTGCAAGAACACGTTGCCGCTATAACTGCAGACTTTTTATTTCACGATTTATAGATGTACATAAATGTATTATTTTTAGTACACATTTAGTAATTTAATAATTTATTAATTACTGTTAGTAATTTGCGTTAATTAAATTATGAGGAAAAATAGTAATTTCTTCACAATCAACTTTCTTACATTATGGTTAAAAGGACACTAACTTTGTTCTTATAATTTGTTTATTAAATTTATAACAAATAACAAATGAATGTATCTACCGAAATTGAATCCGATTCTGTCTACGTGGCAATAATTTGGCGGTGAGGCTCTATAAAATACCGCTATATTGCGTAAAATATACCACAGAACTAGCAGATTTTTCGAGTGAAACGTTTTATCATTACATAAATAATATATATGTACATACATATATATATATATATATATATACATATATGTTATATAGATATATAGATGTATAGGATAATCTCACTATTTTGAGATTCAACATATCCGTCCTATATTTATTTAATTTCCCTCATAAATTCACGTTACTGTTATGGAGCAGAAAGTTTCGTGCTATTATACAATATATAATATAAATAACTTTTAACCTCTTTTTATCATTATCTTGTAACGTAGTCTGACCAAATCAACAAAATCAAAAATTTAACTTAGAAAGCTCGGAAAAGCCCGAGCAATTCCAAAAAATTAATTGCTGTGCTCAACTAAAAATCTTATTTCATGTTTAATTTCTTTTGTACAGGTATTACTTGGATAATTTTTTAATTAAAATTTAAATAATTTAAAAGTGTTTTTACTTAAGCATTTGTCTTACTTCTTATTGCAAGGATACGATCAATACTGTATATGTTGTGTATTATTTCAAAAGTATATATTGTAAAATTAGCTTGTTTCGTAAGAATCAGACTTTAATATCAATGGCTGTGCACTGGTCATGTATAAATAAATTTTTTTTCTGCAGCGAACGAGGGGCCAAAAACGCGTGATAGAATTAAAAATACATTGAAATCACGGTTGCATCAAGAGAATTAGTGACCAGTCACGTAAATAAAATTAATTGCGTATCAAAACGTTATTTAGACTCGCTTGGCGCTCGTCACTCTTAATAAATAAACGACGAAATACATTGTTAGATTTTAAACTCAAAAGACCATAGGCTAAATCCTTTATGCGTTAAATATATACGTTTATTCACGTGACTCGGTCATTTCATTTGTATTGTACATTCGTCTAGAGCTTTCCTTAAATTAATACTGGCCTTTCCTTATACGATATGCGCGATATTATAATTTAAATCACATACAAGAAAGGAGAGAGAGAGAGAGAGAGAGAGAGAGAGAGAGAGAGAGAGAGAGAGAGAGAATAAATAAAACGACGCTGCATACAACGGTGTCGCAAGTACATTATTACGCTTGAGATGAAGCACCTTTCAAACATATTTCATAAGCAAATGATTAGTTAATTGAGTAGTTTGACAAAACGAGCGAGAATTTCGCGATATTGCTCGCGTGATGACAAAGGTGTTTCAATAATACTCGACCAATACTACTAATTCTTAAGACAAAAGTACACACGTGAATTCCTCCTTTTCTTAAGTCTCTTATTACTTCTCTCAAATTAATACGTCTGTATATTATTCGTAATCTCATTATAAGTCTCGATTACTGTAAATCTCTAGTGGACAATGCGTTCATGCCAATACATTGATGCTAATTGTTTTTAAATGTATCACCGCGGATATTACAATGATTGTACATTTTCGATTTATTTTCCAGCACAATTTAATACCTACAAGAGTGTGTACATAACCAATAACTTCAGCACCATGTCCGTTCGATGTGATGTAATGAAATGTAAATGTATATATATATATATATATACATATACATATACATATATATATACATATAAAACGAGAGATATATTAATATATTACACAAAGATACGTCACGTGTATGATTAGCATTGTACTCTGCGTAACTTTACAAAGAAATAAAAATACCCGATTAAACATTATCGATTTAATTCGACATACATACATATAAGAGAGTATAATAAAGTGATTTTTAATCATCTTTTTATAAATTTATACGTAAATATATTTTTTTTATTTTTATTTATTTTTTTTTTTTTTAGATAAAAAAGAAAAATTGTTATCTTTTCTATCTTATTAGCTATTCTTTTATTTTGAGTATTTCATAAATTTCATAGAAAATGAGAATTTCTTTTGACTTTATTTATTTTATAATTATAGATATAACTGCTAAAAATTTCAAAAAAGTTTTTTATTTTATCCGCAGCCCATTACTCTATCGTAAGCTGTATAGATAAATCGGAGATCGAACAATTAAGGCATATCAAGAAAATTTGTTGGAAGAGACAAATTGGTTCATAATTTATATATAAGCTACAATTTATTTTCTTTATACAGTTAAGTAAATCCGCCTGTATAGACTTGAATTAGCCACTCTATCGAATGTTAAATCTAATAAAACTATTATAATATTCTATAACGCTCTATCCTGTTTATATCGATTTCAAGTTTTATTTGGGTTACTACCGGGAAATAATCATTGAATATCAAGTCAAACGACAAAACTTTTAATTTTGGATACTATCGAAAAGATAACCGATCAAATAATCAAATGTTTTCTTCATATATATATATATATATATATATATATATATATATCGATATTCTATATCAGTTACTTTTCACAATGTGTACGCAAACTGACGCCGAACTCTTTCGATGTGACGACAATTGCAACAAACTTACATAGTAAGGTTGAGTTCGAGTGCAGACGAAAACGGGACGATAACCCAGATGTGGGTTATCAGCAAAATTCCGAATCAAGAAGCAGATACACGGCGACGGAGGTCGCGGTCAAAACGGCCAAGTATCAACGATAGTAGGTGGGAAGAAAAGATTTTGAATATTGCTGATGGTGCTACCCTGAAGTGTCCTAGTGAGTTTCCACTTCTAACTCGTTTTCCCTTCGCTTTCCGCTCTTGTCCCCATGCCTCCCCGCTCTCGCCTACGATTTATATTCCAGGAGCGCATCTATCTTACAGCAAGGATGAGAAATTGGGCTCACAAATACAAAGGGCCCACGATCTCTCTTTTTCTCTTTCTTACAGCACAGAAAAAAATGATAGGATAAAAAATATAAGGAGAAGAAGAAGTATTTAGAAGCATTTTATATTATTGTTGTTTGCTCGAACGGTCCATTCGTTGTTTCGGAGAAATATTATTTTCTTGTCAATATATTTCTGAATTTTTCCCTACATTGATTTTATATACTTCATGTATTTTAAAATTATTAAACAACTGAATATCGAGAATACGAATATTTACAGAATATTTTTTCTCTTGTATTAAAACTAATAATATAACTTTAGTAAATAGTGTGTCACATAAAGTATACCATAAATTTAAAAAAATAAAAAATTCGTCGCAATGTTTGACTAAAAAAATCGAGTCTTTAATACAAACGATAAAGCAGAGAAAAACATAATGTACCTAATTATTTTAATAATAACTTGTCAGGATAAATCATTGCTAGGAGTAGCATTGCGAACGCGGTTTCGCTTACAATTAGTTATTATACTTGTTACACTTTTCATTTCGTGGAAATTTCTTATTGAGCAATTTTCACTTACGTTTACAAGCCAACAGAAAGCCAGCAAAACTTTTCTCCGGAGAGGTTTCACATACGATACGAGATACTTCAGACATACTTATGACAAAAAGAAAACGTACACGGAACTGTCTCCGCAAAAGCTTGCACGAGTTTGCATGTCCATTTAATCGCATGTGACACGATGATGCTCATTTACGAGAAGCAAAGGCAGAAATGGAATGAGTTTAGCTATATGTATAGCTGATTGTATTTAACTCTTTCATATATAATATTTGTTCACATTATTCACTGTATCATTGTACGGGGCGCATAATTCTTAATCAAATTTATACAATTCTTGTGTAATTGATCAGATCAGCTGTCTTTGCTATGAGCTAATTACGCTTCAATATATCTAAAGCTCATTTATATCAAAAGAAATCTTTATAAATGTTTCTTTTTATTGAGAGTCTACAAACAATGATTAACTCACTCTCTCTCTAATAATATATAATTTTTATAACTCATAGAGGCTGTGAGATAGCTAGAGAAAATGGGAAAAGTAATTAATGGCAGCAAAACAGCGTAAGTTATTCGACTGCGATAAGTTAGAGTGATATAATGAGAGTAAGAAATGGGTGACTCGTGGAGATTAAATTCGGGTAAAAAAACGATAGTGCAGAAATTTCTGTTCACGGACGAAGGATTAAAAATCTACGAGAGTGATTCATTTGGGATAAAAGTTAGATTATACGGGCAAACACGCGAGTTGTGGAGAGCTATGAGAATTAAATTAATTGCCATGTTAAGTATGTATATGTTACGCATCGGACAGTTAGTTAAAAAGAAATTTCGATGCAATTTTGGCTAATCGTTTATATTAATAATAAGTTATAGGGGCCGGGAAGAGAGAGGGAGAGAAAGAGAGAGAGAGAGAGAGAGAGAGAGAGTTTTCTTACATACAAAATGGTTTTTTTACGATAAATAGAATATTTAATGAATCAGAAAATGATAATGGACAATATAATGGAAATCAAAGCTCTCTTTTTCCATAATGCCTTACTTAATTCTTTGTTCCAAATCATATTATCATATGATTGTCGAGATTTGTATTGTCCGAGACACAATACAATTCGTGAAAAGCGAGATACCTCCCTCAAGTTTCGAAGAGAAATGCAATACTATGCCATCTTGGTGCAGAAAGTTCTATCTGTTTTCCTAAGTTCGACGTATGGTATTATCCACGTTCCGCTTTACGTGCAAATTTACAAGTTTCAAAACAAAAGAAGATATTTCTTATTAAATAGAGAGCACATGTCTGTAATCTAACTTGATGATTAGATCTCCAATGCGTTATACATTATATGTATAAATATAGACGTACATACATACTAATTCTAGATGAAAAATAACACTTAATGATATATAATATCTTTTAATTAAATATATAATCATTTGATAATCAGCTTTAATAAAATATTCTATAAAATATAATTAAATTTATCTGTACACAATTTGAATTTTAAGTATCAAATTAAAACACTATTTTCTTATTTTAGACAAGATAAAGTTATTTTGAATATTATATTTAAAATGTATTAGATAAAAATTATTCAAAGAATTTGCTATTAAAATTGCTATTAAAAGTTGGATTTTCGGAATACTTCGTATACGTGTAGCGAGACGAAATGAATTTCGCGTATCGGGAAACGCGTCAAGATATGTCGCGCATCCTGTTTGGAGTTACCGGAAATTGCGAGTTTCATTAGCAGATCTCGTCCGATCGAAAAACACCTTCGGTAACGGAAGCTTGTAATTGTCTCAGCTAGTCTACGTCGATTTTTTACGAACTTTCAACTTTAAATAGACGCCGGTATGAGATTCGCCACGGTCGAGGAAACGTCATGACCGGATGTCACGATACATCTTCGTGACGTTTTCGTTTGAAAATGATCGCGACTCGTTACTCAAGGCAAATCGTCGCAAATGGAAATGCTGCCGACAGATTGTTTCAATTATTCTTCGGATCTTGGTCTCGTTTAGGTTTTGATAACTTTGAGAATAAAAGTTTATTGTATCACTGCGCTATTACACAGTAATTATGTAGATATGTTATACATATTTTATATCAATTGTAAATGTTAGACAGTTCAATTATTACTGATATAACTTATACAAGAGTAACAAATGCTAGATAATTAAATTTTAGAAACTATAAATTTGTATGATATAATAAAGTTACTTTTTTGAAATAAAATAACATTAATACGGTCTTGAAATTATTTTTGAAACAAGATATTTAATATATATTATTATTTAACAATAACAAAAAAAAGAATAAGGCCTTAGGCTTTTTTGTATTTTTTTCGCTGTCGAGAACGCATTAATCGTGTGGGATCCACTCGTGCAGATACGATGAATTGGAATATTAACTAACGTGCACATACGCACATAACATCGCATCGTAATGGAAAAGTCCGTGAGCTCGAGGACTCTCTCTCACGAAAGATTGACACGCAATTAAATCGTGTCCAATACGATTTTTCCACATCGAAAATTTGCCGTTATAAAATCTGTCGTCATCGCGATAATCAAGGCTTATGAGTTGTGAGATCGGCGGTAGCAACGAGTTCAATATAAAATCCAATATGTTCAAACAGACATGAGACGTAATATAGTTGAATTTTAATATAATATGCATAAAAATCTAACAACTCTAATAAATTCTCCGCAGAAATTTAGGGATTAGAAATGAAATTGAGTTAGGCTCTTACAGATCAAAAACATAAAAAGCTATAATTGTATAAGACAGACAATAATTTAAAATAAAAAATACTGTGTAAAATAGACTGATGTAGTACATTTTTATCAGCGAGTGTTCGTTTTACAACAAACGATATATTTAACATAATTCAAGAAATATCTTCCATTTGTTGCTAAGAATTGTACGAGATACGGGATGACAGAAAAATATGTGTGTAATATGTACACCCTATAAGATATTTTTACGCAGGGATATCCCGTTGTGAAAATTCTGATCCTACCGGGACGACGTGCACAGCTTTACCAGGAACGGTCTCGTGGTCATTCTGAAAACGAATGGCATGCGTTTTTGTTGTAATCCTGATATAAAATAACCTCGACCTTCGTGCGTGCGTGCGTGCGTGCGTGCGTGTATGTGTGTGTGCGCGTGTGTAATATTTTATTTTTTAAATACATAAATATATAACGTCTCTAATATTGAAAATTAAAAGTATTTATTGGCACTGATTGTATGTATCTATTGATAAATCTAATTCAATTTATAATTTAAAATAAAATAAATTTTACTTTAACGTAAAGTATATAAAGTAACTAACACGTATACGAATGCATGGTGCATTCGATATTTCATTCTACTAGAAAACTTGTGGCAACAAGAAATGGATTCATAATTCCGATCATTGATACACATCAACCTAACCGATGGTAGAAAACGGCATCATTGATATTTCCGGCGGACAACGAGTAACCGTAATGTTCGACGCGTTTCCGACAAGCTGGGGACGTAGTTCATTTTCTATACGAATTTATTCGCATTCTATACAAACTTATATGCTATCTGTGTATGTTTTCTGGTGCCTCACAGACAGGATATCTCTATCTTTTCTAGGAAAAGACCATTAATCTTAGATAATTCTTTTTCATTCGTTGTTCTTGTTGTAGACTTTGTAGAACATCCGTGCCAAGCGAAACTATTAAGCGATTACCTAAAATCTTCAAATGTCTTATTTAACTGAAGAATGCACACTCTCTTAAATTTAGATCACGTCCAAATTTTTTATATATGTTTATGTAGTAAAAATAATTTGAAAATTAATTCTAACGAAATTAAAAAATTCTAAATTGTTGTAATATATAATTGTAACGTATGTGATATAGATGCAATTAACTAATTTGTCGCGCATATGGAACATGTCTTTGTCATGCACCTAACGAGATCTAGATCTGGAATTCAAAGAATCAACGCGCGAAGAATCATGCGAGCTCCTAATACATCCTTGGAAACGAAAGCAAAGTTCTGTACCTCGATGAAATGTGATGTCGTAAAATGAGTTCTGTTATTCTGCACTCGGCCACAAAAATGTGATGGTCACTCAATGCTTCCAATTGATTGATTACTTAAGAGAGACTTTTATAGTAGAATCATATTAAAAGTTATATATCATTCAACATTTTTTTCGCATTTTCTTTAAAATTGGAAATAAATAATTAATTTAAGATCAATTGGAAATGACAAATTAATAATTTATAGACTGTTATACATATATGTATACATATATGTATACATATATGTATATGTATAATTGATAAAGGGGGATTATGTGTATGAATGAAATATACAAGACCAATTAATAAAATTTTGCTCTGCAAATATCCATATTCTAATAAATACTTTATCTACTGCCATTAACATTACTAAAAACTAAAAACGTGTTCTGTAAATTCAAATATATAGTACGTAATAACAGCAAAAATAAAAGCTATCAAAATTTAATTTACGTACTGGCATCATTTGAGATACGCATTTCAATTGTAGATTAAATTTTGTACATATACGTATAAAAAAAGTTGTATTTTTATAATAATTGTATTTTTAATTACAAATAATTTTATTTTTGTTAAATATAATATTTGCTAAATATGTATAACATAAATCTAAAATATAACGAACGAGAGAGAACATTAAGAATGGAGATAGATACAAAGAGGTGCGAGCTGGTGGGGGTTGACAGCGAAGGGCGGAAGGTGCGGCGTTTCTATCCTTCGTCAGCTGTTCTGTTTGGAGCAGTCAGTGCGCGTTGTGGCTTCGCCACGTGCTTCTCGCGGTCTTTGGCTACCCTATACGATCAAGACTATGCATCGGAATTTTTTGACATATTCTTGCGCGATCAAGATAAAAATATTATATAAAAATTATTTTATCTAACGCATTTAAGTAGTTCTGAGAATATCGGGAGCACTTTTGCTATTATCATGAATTTGTGTTTCAAAATGTCAACAACTCAAACATGTGCGCTTGGTGAGTTTTAAAAAAAAAGTTTTTAAGATTAAAATTCATTTAAATCACAATTTAATCTTGATAATTTCAATGTCATAAATGTGCTAAAGTATAGTATCTACGTGATTTTTACGTGATTTTTAGTAATATCTTATGTGAATTTCGATTCGTGCGATTTTATTTGAAAATAACATCTGTTCAGCTGTACATTTACAATAACTTATACGGTTTGTAAAATGCGTTTAAAATGTTAAGAGATTATTTAGAAATTTAGAAATATTCTCTCTCTCTCTCTCTCTCTCTCTCTCTCTCTCTTTGCATCCTTCTGATAGAATATAATGTTCATTTTTCTATTTTCTTTCTGCTTGCGCTCTTTTTTTTCAATTCTTTTCAATTTATCATATTAAAAATTTGATAAAATCTTTGAAACATTTGATTACTTTTGTGAAAATGTTACTATATAAACTTAAATATCTATACTGTGTTAAAATAAATACTTATATTAAATATACAATATTTGAATATTTCTAACTAAAAAATGATTTTTGAATTCCTAACTAGTTACAGTTATTGTTAAAATATTATTAAAAATACCCCCAAACTGATTTAATAATTTAATAACAATTTGTTTTAAAGAATAAGTAAAATAACGTTGAAAGTTATTTATACGTTATTTATATATATTAATTTATACAATATTGTTTCGTAATACAAAAATAAATAAATCTTATTTATACTAACAATTCATGCAATATCCAACTCAAGTTATCTCGTCAATATGTGTGCAATAGATTTTAAGAGCTCATCGACCTTTCACGGAAACATTTCATTGCATTTCAAATATCACAAAAATTCCTACAGACCATCGAAAAATATTGTTGAAACTGAAGTAGATTTCATGTACGCAGTATACGATATTGTAATATAGACGTGTATACTCTTTTTCATTACATATATATTATCCTCTCGTATTAATTATTCATTATATTATATTATAATCCGCTTATTATACTTTTAGCCGTCACTCAAGCAAATAACGGAAGCGTGCGCATTTGTGAACACGACGCGTTGAAGCATATTTTAATAGAATTTATTTGATAAGCAAGATGGATGTGAACTAGTAGTTTAACATATGAAAATCAAAATCCTTTATATTTAATATATTCATAAGATAAAAATCTCAGAAAAATAAATCAAATGGATAAGATATATTAAGTACAAAAATATATGTATATGTGCATTTGACATATTTGATGCATTTGTAAATCTGAAATTGGAAAGATTGCTTTTAAGATAAACCGCGAGAAGAGGAGGGGGGACAAAGATAACATTTTGCAATTAAGATCGTATAATAATAAAATGTAATATCTACATAAAAACCGCCTACATCGTTAGATGTAGAATTTTTATTTGATTTTCTTTATTTATTCTTTTGTGTAGAATTCTGTAATGTAACTAGAAAAAATTATTACTGTTTAAACAATATGAGGATTACTATTACAACAGTCGTCCCAATCCCTGAGATGACTGTAACAGTAGAAGGAAATGATTCTATCACATTATTTATGGACAAAATAATGCAGGTTATTTATTACGTATTTTTTCACATAAACAAACAAAAACAGAAAATGGCTCTTCTTTTAATAATTAATATGAAATATTAAAATAAAAGAACAATCACATATAAACATCTATCCTTGTCATCTTTTCCTTGCCATCTTTTCCTTGTTTTTTAACAATAATATCTACGCGTTGTAATGTTAGTTACCTTCCTCAAGTATTGATATTATTATTGTCCCCTAATAATATTCTATGATTAATAATAATTTTTTTTAATATATATCTAGAGGAAAGTCAATTAAATTATGCAAATTATCAACACAGATAATCATTAAAACATTAATCATTAAATATTAAATCATTAAAATAATACTTTATACTTTCGCTATAAAGAAAAAAAAATATTTTAAATTTTATTCACGCAAGAAAATGTATTGTTAGTTAGAGGAGTGAAAAAAGTAACTTCTGCTTTTGCATATGTGCACGTTTTGCAAGGGGAGGAGGAACCAACAGAGAACTAACAAACAAATACCATTCTATATAACATATCTCGCTTCACAGTTCACAGCCACACATACATATCCATTATAGTTTCTGAAATTCACGATGTTACAATTATACTTTTGTCCCCAGTCTATCACCTGCTACAATTTTTTTTTTAATTAATTATTTTTATAAAAATATAATGTATACTATTTTTTCTACATGCAATTTCATATATACGTAACGTATAAGTGCATCAAATCAAACAATGACTTGTTTTGATATTATTCGCTGTATACTCGAAAAACAAATGTGCCAGTAAAGTAATGCTTTCTAGAAAACTTTGCAGGCAAATAAAAATCCAAGCAAACTTGGGCAACATCCCGTAGTAGGTACATAGAGTCAAACGAATATGGGAGGTAAACTGCCATGTCCACCACGTAAAACTTTGCTAGCAAGGTTAAAACGCCATTGGCTAAACCGATAAACATCAGAAAGCTTTAGTCACGTTGAAAAATGCGCCGCTTCGAGGCTTCGCTCAAGCGTAGTGAGAAAAATCCCGTAAAAAGTGACGCTCGAGCGATAGTATCCCGCCTCGGCAAAAGCTTCCGCACTTTGTTCGAGTATTTCCCGGTATTTGCCTGTCATACATTTATCGGCTCTCAATGTTGCAACGACGAGAACGAAAACGCTGACTCAATGATACACCGAAGAGACATAATGCGATCGCAAACGAGCTTTCAGAATAAACGGAAACTGTTATCTATATATACATATGTATATCGTTGAAAAACTTAATAAATCATACCGATACCAATGCGCGCTTGGGCAACAAATCGTAAAAAGAAGCACGAGAATATGTGATTGTGTCATAAAAATTTTTTGGAATGTTGCATTTATTTATCTGTTTATTGGGACAATTTGTAGATTTATAAATTTATTGGCAGATTTAATAAATTTGTCACGTCAATCATATTTCCTTGTAAAATAAATGCTTAAAATAACATGGTAGAAATAGGATTCTCTATAATACACCTGATCCTCCATGACACACGCATATTATATTTATTTCAAGTTATTCTTACGATCAAGTTATCTCACGACTAAAATGTTAACAAATTTATCTTTCAAAACAATACAGAAAAGAAAATAAATAGACAGATGCATAGTCGCCAAAGAAGCAGTAGATTAGATATTGATAGACGCAGAATGGGAGTAAAAATAAGACATTAGTCTCTCGAGTTCTCCAAAGTACTGCCACTATTGCTGTCGTTCGGCTCGCGAACTCTCTCGACGTCTTTGTGTGCTTCTTGACGCGCAATGTTGCGTTCCGTGGATCCCTGATCCTCGTCACATCGCTGCCTATCATTTCCGGTCTCCTCGATCGGATGCTGCCGCTCTTGCATCGCTCGTTGCAATTGCTGACTTGGAGTTCGAGATACTGATTTACCTTTCGATTTCGCGCGCGTTTTCTTGTGTCTTGGTTCTCGATACAATTTATTTGCTGAAATATAGATTAAGAATTAAAAACTTTTTTAATCTTCTCTATGTTGAAGACTATACACACACACACACACACACACACACATACACACACACAGACACGTCTTTTATAAATAACTATACATATATGTTAAATTAATTTAACATATATTTTCTACTTTTCTCTAATATGGTTAAAATTACCTCGGGAAACACGCTTCCGACTCATGTCGCTATCGCAGTCACTCTCGTCAGAGAAGTCGGACTCGAGTTCTCGCTTGGATAATCTTGAACGTTTCGTTCTGCGATTGAATGGTACGGACGAATCGTCCCTTCCATGCAAGAAGTCTTGTTCGGATGACTGATCCTCAAACTCCTCGTCTTCGTGTGTGCGTTTTCGCTGTCGTCGCTATCATTACCATAAACATTGAAATTGTACTTTATGCGTTTCATCTAATCAAATGTCAATCATTTTCAGTCACATGATGAAAAAAAGAATTGTAACTATCTATTATTATTCTCAATATTTTAGTTTTTATGGACTTTTTTCCAATATTTTGCGAAAAATATTAGTTTTAAGGCGTTTAATTCTGTCATATCTTCGCAATTATTCAGCAACTAAAATCTCGTACTGCCGAAATCGCAACAGACTCTTGTTATAATTTACCCCAGATTCCTTTAGCTCAAGATGTAAAGATAATACCCTAACATTTATACTACTGGAATCTCTTTATACTCCTAAAATCTCACAAATATGCCTTTACCAGACATTATTTACAGATTTATAAGAAACTTGAGACCAAAGGTAAAATAACACAAAAAAATATTCAAACGTACATGCAATTAAATGTTATTGTCAAAATAGTTAAGACTATTCAAATAGCAAATATGGCAATAACGCTAATTGACGCACTTTTCGAATCTGAGCGGTATTAGATTGTCTAATATACGGCGAACGTCGGGATTTCCTTCTTACTTTACTACGACGTCTACTATTTCGTCGCCGTGAAGTAGTTCTTTTCCTCCTATATTCATACATATTAAACAGAATTCAGTTTCAATTTTTTTTATCCGATTTAACATATTACAATCATGTTAGATTTCTTATAATAGCCTATATATCATTAATTCATAACAGATTGTACAGTTATTTATTTATAATAGATTTTAATAGACCTCATTTCTAAAATTTAAATAATATTGCATAAGTGTAAAAAGTTTAAAAATTTCAAATCGTCTTTGAAACGTCACGAAACTATAAATTAATTGAAAAAGGTAGATTTGCCAACATGCGCATAGAAATATTACGGCGTACTTGCGCTCTTGTGTTCGACGAAGGGATTCCATGTCGCCAACTGGTGCTTGTACATCAGATTTTGATTTTTTCTCTTTGTTTTTCTGATCATTATTAGCTGATTCCTTATTAGCAGATGGGTTAGGGACAGTATTAGGATTTAAAGTAGCCAGTGTTTTATAACGACCACTCCTATGCCGTAAAAGTCCAGCATTTACTGCATGCTTTAAAGCTCGTTGTACCTGTGATGTATCGATTATATCATACAAGTATTTAAATTGCTTGAAATTTTATTATTGGTCATATAATAGAAATTACCCTTCTCTTTTTCTATTCCAAATAGTTATCTATCTTTTCTATTCCAATCGGTTATCTATATGATCTAGCTTCTAAGATGTTCATAACAGATTGTAGAAAAGGAAGACAACCAAATTTTCATAAGATTATGTATAATTATTGCAAAAACTTTTTATATGAAGTCACGATATTTCTTAAAGTAAATTTATTATAAAAATTTGCACAAATATGATACGACCAAAAACATATTTTAACTTATGGAAAACTGAAAATTCTGAGAAATGTTTTACACACAAATTATTATGACAAAAAAATACATAAATACATATTATTATGACAAATAAATACATATTAAGAAAAACATTTAAAATACAATGCGTCTAGATGTGCGCGCAGACAAAAATTTTGTGTCACCTGCAGCGTCAGATTTTTGAACGATACATTGCTGTGCCGAATAAAACTGAGAACTTCGCGAGCTGATGAACCTTTGGTGTCGCCAAGATTTGCCACTGCATCTAGTACGCGAGCCATAAGGCGTGGATTCGACGGTCGAACCATTTTCAAATTTGGCGATTTACTTGACTGTTGCTTGATTATTCTTGTGAATTTCTAGTGGCTAACTTTTAAATTATCTTACCATATAAAATATAAATATAATTATCAGATACTAAATAATTACCAACGTGGAATTCACGAGTTTCTGTTTACAATAAGCATTATGTTTTTATATTTTATTGTTTTCCAGTTATAGCACAATACCTACATTTTTAAAGAATAAAAGAAAGTTATTTACGATAAAACCTTTTGTGCCCCTGTTGCAACTCGAATTTGTGATGCTACTTTGAATTCCAAGATGCCTACGCGCCTCACCTCTACGGATATTACTTGACAAATGCTCGAAACCAAAAGACATCCAATCGTTTTTCTCGATATGACAAATGATCCTGATAAACCTGTCGTAAATGCGGATCGTTTCTAAGAATACCACGAATTTCATTGAGGCATGTCGTCGTTGCGTCGAAGTTATCGCCGAGACGTCCGTTGTCTCCAAATTATATTCTTTTTTGTTTAACGATGCTTCTTTTTTCTCAAAATCACAAAACGTTTCTTATTTCGATGTCGATATAACAACAAACTGTATGTATGTACGCATGGCATGTATACGTGTATACATACATTGGAATTTAATAACTCATCAAATAAATAATTAAGATATGCGTATTTGGTACAATTGAAAAAATACAAATTTACTAAAATTGATGTATCTTCGATACAATTTTAAAGCTAAACAAATTCATGAGAATGATGTCTATATTTATAATAGGTACTCTGGAAACGCGACAATCGCGACAGATACATTTGCCGCATTTATAGCATGAAAAATTGACATTGTGTCATTCCAAACCTACAGCTACGTAATGCGAAGTACTATCGGGCATATGTCAATGTCAGGAATTTTCACGGTATCATGATCTCGAATTACAAATTAAACTTTAAGAAACCTGTTATCCTCCCGCGCTTTCTCGTACGTGTTTATTAATCTGGTTAAGCACCGTATGACTTACCTCTCTTATTCTGTACCGTTGATAAGGATACGTCATGTATGTACATGACTCACCGCAACAATATTCGCAATATAATAAAAATGATATACATACTCGTACATACACAACGGTAACATTATCTTATATATTATTTTTAAAATATACTGTACTAATAGAAAACATTTAATCTTAATTAGATTCTCACTCTTCGCTTATAAAAACGATCAAGACATTTCATAAAATATGTTTTAAAAATATTTCAAGGACTAAACAAATTAATTTATTGCACTTTAAAAAAATTTAAAAAAAATAACGTAAAAATATCAGACTCGTCATCTTTGTTGCGCATCTTCATTGGAAGCTAATATTTCGTTACATTTTTAACTAAACATTTTTAAAGAGCAATTGTATAATTTGTACAAACATTCCCTCTAGCAATTGCTTTCGCAAGACACGTTGAGTAATTAAATCCTTGCTTCCGATTTACGTATACAAACTATTGTATACAAATGGCTGGTACTAATAATCAAGCCTAGCCATCAATCACGAATGGTACCCACTTTTCAAAGCGTGCTGCTACCCCGTATTTACGTGTGTACAAATAGCTGTTTGCATACGGTGCATGCGGTTCGTTCGCTTTCAAACGTCTTTCACTATTTTCGTCCAAACTATTTTCGGGGGAATAAATATATGTATTGCACACAACAGCGAATGCACGAGTAATCGTCAAGATTTACTGATTTTCCAATTCGACACTTGTTTTTGCTTATTAAGCGTTACTGCACATCACTACTTAAAATTGAGCAACACAAAAAGTAAAAAAGGCATCTAAGAGACGTCAGAAAAATTAAAAATCCTTTACGATCTTTGTCAGACATTTGTGCTATTTCGAAACATCGCACAATCAAAGAAAAGATGTCCTAATGATGAGTAATAATTAAATGATAAGTGACAAATATGGGAAATTTGATTGCATTATTATATAATGAATTTATTGATGTAACATCGAAAGCGAAAAAAACTTTTAAATTAATAAAAAAAATGCAATTAAATTTAATAATAACTCTTTTGGTTTTGTTGAATTTAATTTGTATTGCATTAATAATATATTGCATTAATAATATATTTAAATCTTTTTTTCTAGAAGCTTACAAAATTTTATTAAAAAGCTATAATAATGTTGCAGGTATTTATTTTTCAATTCTTACTAATATTATATAGTGGCGAATTGCTATTAGTGCGAAATATCGAATGACTCTGTTGTTAAATCAAATTAATGAACAAGTTCTTGCACGAAGAAAGCGAAAATCCGAACTCATGAAACCAACATCATGAAGTCAAGAGTCCTGCTCGTCCTAGCCAACTTTATTACTTCTACCTTTTTGTAAGTTTAATTTACAAGAAGCTCTGTTACATTTACCCTATGCATTTTGATGATATCAATTATTTATTTAAAGGAATTTATTTAAAGGTTTGTACGAGATTTCTTTATTTAAATTCGGCGGCGATTTGTAAAACGATTTGTAAATCACGCAAATGATTATGTATTCGTTTATATACAACAATGCGATATTTACAAAGCATTAATAAATCCGCGAGTGTACTTATTGTCTCTTGAATAATTGATTCGTATAATTGGAAATATTCTTTCTTACATACATACATAAAATGCGCGCGCGCGCGTGTGTGTATGTACATATATGTATATATGTGAATGAATTAGTACGCATAAATTATAGAACCATGTTAGAATATGTATGGGAGTACTTAGGAGATGATATTCTTAAGATATTCCGACTAATTGCACACCTTCTTATAGTCAGACACCACACGTAAATTCTAGCGTCAATTCTCTGTCAGTGCAAATCAATCGATCAATTTGCTTGTCACGTGTCACATAATGTAATTTAACTTTCTGCGTATACTTTAAATTGTGTGCTGAACGCCGGCTTCATCAATATTAATTAAAACATTATATTCAAACGCGACATAAAAGTTTAATATTGATTTTAAAAAGTGATTAAAAACGTGTTTGAACGCATATTTCACCTACGAAATGAGTGATTCTTCATAATATTGACAATAGTATCACAATAGTAAGCTTAACAAGCGGTGATTTTCTCGATTAATGAAATTGCGAACTTGTTTTAGAGCGAGTGCAAATGCAAAAACTTCTGTCAGGCAGCGAACGCAAAGCAACAATCATAGTAACATTAGTGACCTATTAGATAATCTACTTCGTGGTTACGACAACAGCATTAGACCAGACTTCGGCGGGCCCCCGGCTACTGTTGAGGTCGATATTATGGTACGCAGCATGGGTCCCATTTCCGAGGTGGATATGGTCAGTCATATTTTTTATTTATATTGCAGCATACAAGGCAATTACGATTTAAATCTGCCTAGAAAATCGACCAAATAATCCAAATCCTTGGGCGTATAAAATACTGCATTATGAAAATAACATTTTAATATCGATTAATTTACAATTGAACGTTAAAAATTGAACGATAAAAAAAATTAACGTGTCAAATTCTCGATTGTTAATGCATTTGTATGTACATATTTGATAATACATATAGATTATATAAACAGTTTAATCAAATTTTGAAATTTTCTGCAGACATACTCAATGGACTGTTACTTCCGGCAATCGTGGGTCGACAGACGTTTAGCATTTCAAGGTGGCAAGGAAACGCTCGCTCTGAGTATTTCTATGTTGGCGAAGATCTGGAAGCCCGATACGTATTTCTACAATGGCAAGCATAGTTACCTGCATACGATCACCAGCCCGAATAAGTTCGTCAGACTTTATCAGAACGGCAGAGTACTTTACAGTTCCAGGTACATGCATGCAACTTTAATCAATGTCTCAATTCTGTTATAATCAAGATACATCAATATTATCAACATAAAAGGAAAAAATTTTTGTCATACCTTCAGCCCTTTATCATACTATATTTATTTCTGGCTCCAAGTAATGCAAATATACGGAAGATATAATCTTTCTGTTCTTTCCATTGTTGCCGTTATGTCCCATAAAAATATTCTTTCTCAAGAAAATTATGAAAAATGTAATAATTTTATATAGATTTATAATGAATTTATAAATCGGAATTTCACTTGAATTTTATTTTTTATCAATTGCTCATGAAGATTTCATTTTTTTGTCATATCTTTCTTTTCACCAAAAAATTGTATATTCAAAGATAACATAATTATTTAACATTGTCAAATACAAATAAATTTTTAGCTATATGATATAAATAGTTGTGTAAAATTAGGGAAAAATAGGCTTACAAATCTTGCAAATAAATAAAAGAAGAACTCAATTTGATTTAATATTTCCACTGATTTCTATTCGCTGAGATCTCTTACAATTAGTAATACATAATTTCGCTATTTTTCAATGAGGAGAGATAAAAATATACTTTGTACATGTAAGATAGAAACAAGTACGTCGGTATTCGACACCAAATCTCTACAAATCTTTTCTCGGCGACGTGACATATGCAAGGTCTGAGGTATCTCAAACTCGAGGGTTAATTCTGCCGTACACAATAGAGTCGATTCAGAGAAGACTGGGTCAAGAGAAGGGGAACAGATTAACAATAAGGAGATAGTTATATCGCTCCAATACTCTTTTTTATATATTGATATTTGATTTCTGTCAACAATAAAAAAACGAAATAATCGATGATATGTAACTTAAAGAGAAAGAATAAAAAAATTTAAACGTTCTATATTATTCCATTCTAATCTTTAAATTTCATCGAAATAAATATTTTATGGTAAGCGTGCGTCATTAATTAGATATTAATTAGATTTCCTGAAAATATTCTTCAAAGAAACATAAAAGTTTCAAATCAAGCATCAAAGAAATAACATGGAATGCTATCTATTAATAATTCAAAATTTTTCGATTAATATATGTATATGTATGTCCATTATTCTAATTCGACCTAATAAATTAATAAGATGCAGTTATTGATTTTACCCCAATATCTTGTTTGTTTTCACAGTCAAAATATATAAAAATGTTTATAGCTTTTAAATTTTTATTTTAGAAAAAGGATTTATTTTATCTTTCTCAAATATTAATTCCAAATAGTATCATATCATTTTTTGGATTAAATGTTAACTAAATGTTAACGATTGCTTGACCTCGATTAAATAATTTTTATGAGAAAAATATATACTTGACTAATATTATCGTTTGGTATCAATTTTGCTAATACAATCAAAAAATTTTAAATAATGATCTAGCAGCAATAGCTGTATGCACGTATAAGAATATCATGCAGCCATTGTGATAATTGTACGAAAACTATCTCTTGACAATTCAAAGTAAAAGGGCAAATTCTGTAATTGTTGTCTTGTTTTGAAAAACGAGGTTCTTTAAAAAACGAGTAGGTCTCATATATTTTTCTCTGACCGACTGGACCTATTTGGACTGGAGAACGTCGTGATCATGTCCCTGATGTTTACTCGACACTTTATTAGTCCTAACCTTTTATTCGACCATCGAGATTTATCTAAACCAGTAAGAGAATAAATGATTTCTACATTTTCAAGATCTAATGGATAAATTTTTTATAAAGTCAAGAAACAAATCTGTTCAGTATATAATATATTATTGATATTATCATAACACATATATGTATATATATGCGCTTGAAACAGGCTACCAGAATAATTTCTGGTTCAAGATATTAGATTGAAATTTATAGGGTTACAATGGCATCATAAAATCTATTATTTAACCTTAAAAACACCGACTTTAACCTTTCAGAGAAGAGGGGGGGAGAGGAAGAGAGTTAAAAATCTAAAATGGCATGTGGGCAATCGAATAAGGACTCGTTTGAAAGAGCTTTTCGAGACGAGAAAAATTCGAGGTCGTTGAGGTCTCTAAACGATATTTTTTGCAAAGTTATGCTCATTTGAACATTGATGTTATTTAGCGCTAACAAGGCCCACGGCGAGGATGTGAGGAAGATAAGGCTTCGCGCATGTTCCTCACACACACATACACGCTCTTCTACATGCACTTTCATCCACTCAGGAACATGCGCGAAGCCTTAGCTTCCTCACGTCCTCGCCGTGGTCTCGCTAGCGCTAATTAACACCAATATTCAAATGAGAGCATAACTCTGCGAAAAAAATCATAGACCTCGCGTTTTTTTTTCGTTTTGAAAAACTCTTTCAAACGAGCCCTAATTCAATCCCATATTGCCATTTAAGATTTTCAACCTCTCCCCCCCCCCCATCCCCCCTGAAAGGTTAAAGTCGGGGTTTTCAAGATTAAATAATAGATTTTAAGATGCCGTAACTCTAAAAAAAAATTTAATTCACTAACTCGAACCATTCAGAAATTATTCAGGTGGTCTGTTTTACCCTGTATTACTCACATTCATATTATTATATCTTATGTAGGTATCTATAAAGTATCTAGATTTATTTTTAAAATAAATAAATTTATATCTAATTATTCATAGAAAATGCCTATCTGTATCTGTTTAGTTACATTTTTCTTCAAATAACTATATCTCGTTATTTTAAAATATCTCTTACAAAATGATGCTCATGATGGAAATACGACAACAAGCAAACGCAAACGCATATTACTAATAATCGATGGGGCACGAGAACAGGAGGTAGAGATGATCTAGTCTAAGAAGAGTTTGGATCGTATCGAGAAGCGTATCGAAGACGAGCATGCATGAACGGAAGTACGAGTTGCAGTATCCCGTTGCATTTTCACGACAGAGAAAAAGAGACAGAGAGAAAGAGGGATCCAATTTCGCGAGAGTATGTCAAGCATAAAATGTACACTGTACCGTGCAAATGCTCTCCCTCCCTCCCTCCCGCCCTCTCTCTCTCTCCCCTCCCCTCTCTCTCTCCCTCTCCCTCCCTCTCCCTTCCCCTTCTCTATCTATCTTTGTTTATCTCTCTTACTTTTTTGCCAATCGGTAGATCTTTTCTTTAAAAATTTAAAATATATCATAATTTCTATATTTTAGCAGTATGATATATATTTTAAAATAGCAAAGGAAAGAAATGAAGTTTTTATAACAATTCTTGAGATCTATATAATGATAAATCGAGAGCATAAATCGAAGAACATTTACAAAGAGTAACTAAATTTGTCTGCATTCTGTAAAAATGCGACTATATCATAAATATTAGTTAAAGTTAATAACAGTTTAATCAAATTGTGTTTATAAAATTAATTATATGTATAATATAATAAATAAAATGTAAGAACATAATACATACAAATTTTTATTTTTTTAAAAGAAAGCAAAAGTATCTAGAAGTACAATACTTTAAATTTTATCTTTTAAATATATAAAATGTTTACAGTAGATAGCGTAGATTAAATGTTTGATGTTTATTGTTAGAACATTTATTCAAAAATGCTTGTAATTGGATAACTCTCCTTGAAAAATTCAATTAATACTTGTCCTTGTTGAATTGAAGAATGATTTCCTAGAATTTTTTATCATATAATTTTCAAACTCGTCATCTAGCATTGTGTTTTTAAAAGTATGAAATGATAATGTTTGTCGAATGGAATAAGATTAAAATTTCGTTTTAATTGCTAATTCAGAGGACATCATACAGAGCGGTCGTAGCTTGTTGTGATATCAAAAGAATTCATTCAATATACATATAGTCGCAATAGAGAAGCCGCACTTCTTCTGTAATTCTTACTTGAATGGCAGAAAGCTTCTTGAGAGCGACTTTTATTTTTATTTTTCCTTTGACCCAATGTCTATTTGGATCAAGTTTTCAGATTAGCTTTTGTCATCTGAATGTTTACCCGAAAAATTGTAAGTATAGTTATATCTTTCGAAGCATTCAAGCGAGAAACAACAAAATTTTAGCACCGTTAATTTTTTTTATAATAATTTACGCTTAAATAAAAATTTAGATTTATAAATTTTAATTTGTTTATTTTAACAATTTAATTTATTAATTTCCTCGAAAATAAACTCTTAAATTATTATTATTATGCTTTATTAAACTTGCATTTCAAATCATTTAAGTTTGATTATAACTTAATTTATCCTGCAATTCTAGTCATTTATCATTTATCATTGTATATACATAGATCTTTTATGCGTATACTATTGCTTTCCATTTTATGCTTCAATTTCTCTTTTTACATTTCTTCTTTAAATTGTTGATTACTGATCTTTGTTCTTGTTGAAAATTTCTTGTTAAAAAAATTTACTGAAAGAGCCAAGAACTTGTCATCGTACATTATTAATTTTAAAATTGCAATGATTTATTCTGGAGCCATTTAACTTTACCGCTCGATTAATTCTTTATTTGTATTTCCGTGAAGTTGGTCTCTCTTCATTCTTTTAACAATTTTATCCCATTCGACTTCATTTTATTTTACACTTCTGTGCAATAAAATAAAAGGCCGTAGTCTTCGTTATTCATGAGATAGAGAAAACTTATCGTTATATAAAGGACTAAAACTTTTGCTTTTTCCCAACAATGTTATCAGAGGTAGGAGGGAAGAGAGAGAGGGGGGGGAGGGGAACAAAGAAGAAGAATGTGTTTATTGTAGCACAGAATTATGATCACATTAGAGCAAACATCTGTACAATGCGTGTCCTAAGTTTAGAATACACTTTAAACGTTATAAAGTTTAGAATACCACTTTAAACCGCCTCTTTTCCCCAATGTTTAAAAATTCATATCTTCCAGAAAAATAAAGATATAAACTTCTTTCTGGGCTCATCTTAAAGATGAATTATGTGGCTATTTTCTAAAAAATCGTGATTTTATTTAAAAATGGCGGTTTCAATATGGCCGATTAAAACGTCATTTTGTTGAAAATTGTTAAAATTTGTTTAATTAAAATGTAATTTAGTATAAATGTTATTGGAAGATGTATGGAGTTTAATACGCACCGCGCGCAAAGCGTCATTTTTTTTGAAAATTTATTTTTTATCAAAAATTGTTAAAATTTGTTTAATTAAAATGTAAATTGATATAAATGTTATTGGTAGATGTATGGGATTCAATACGCAGCGCTCGCGAAGCGCGCGTCTGTTATGTACTAGTGTAAAGTAAAATTGCAGGAAGCAAAATTCAACAAGAGAATATCAATGCTGCCCTATAATTCACAGTACATATAGATTTAAAATATATAGATTTTAACTATAATAAATATTTTAAATCAAATTCGATTAAACACAACAACACTTATTCGCGCTTTATTCGGAAAGTCCTGCTAGTGCCTCAATAATTGAAATCTTTTCTTCAAGACCGATTTAACAATTCTATTGCTGAATTTGACCGTACCGGGAATAAAGAGAGCATACTGAAACGGTACCCGGTAATCATTCGAGGGAAATTGCCCGAGGTCTATTTTCAGTAAAATGCCGTCAATCTGCACCTCTCATGCATACCATAGGTGAATATTCGACCGGTGTGACAAGAAAAAAAATTAAAATCCTACATTTTAAAAAGAAAAGGAAACATTTTCCTTTTTTTCCTATATTCATATTACTGTCGTCATTATTTTTACAATATTTTATTTTATTATTACATCTTTTTTGCTCTTAGAGAGTTTATTTTATTCATTACCTATATTCTTAAACTCTCGCAATTTATACATTTGCAAATTTACACTCGCCCGCAAGCAAAAAAATTTATATAATCGAAATATTGCGTAATGAAGGTCCAGATTTGTGTAGTAAACAACGCTTTTTCTATTTATTAACATACAGAATTAAAACTTACATAACTTCTGATATGACTTTCAAATTATAAGTGATTGCAATTTTAACATTACTCGACTTTACTAGAATTTTGTACAACAACAAAAATGTACAAAAAACTTAAAAAAAAACAATTAGAAATGTTTTCTTGTGGTTCTGGATATGTTATACATATCGAGATTATAACATTTCAAAAAATTTATTAAATTTTCCATGTTTCTCTTTTCAGACTTACGATCAAAGCAGGATGTCCGATGAATCTCGAAGATTTTCCGATGGATACACAGAAATGTCCATTACAATTTGGCAGTTGTGAGTTTAGTAGACTTACTTGTTTCGCGATTTCTCAAAGATATCATAACGTTCTTTTTCTTTTCTCCTTCTTACCTTCTTCCTTTAGCGACATTCAAATCATACTAGCAATCTACGGTAAAAAGATTTCAACAATAAAATAACAAGGTATCAAATTTATTTGTTCCTCGAGTGATGTTTAATCTTGTCAAAAATTATGTAAGGTTTAGTGTATTTTATTACAAAATAGAATCCCAATTTTAAAACTAATTTTTAACTAATGTAAATCAATAATCAATTCTCCATTTATAGTTGGCTATACAACACGTGACGTAATCTACAAATGGAACAGCGCAAGACAGGTCGCTATTGCAGAGGATATGAAACTGTCGCAATTTGATCTGGTCGCCAATCCCACTGCAAATCACTCAACTGCATCAGGTTTCTCGCATGGTAAGCATGAGAATCTCTATAAACAAAATAAGGAATATCCACGCGGCTTATCAATATTTCTGCTGTCTATATTTGTAGCAATTGATCGAGAATCATAGAAATAAATATATAGTGCTAAGAAAGTCGACAAAAAATCAAATTTTTAATATACTATATCAATTCACAGAATGTGAGTAAATGACGAGCAATGAATTAAAGTAGCTTAACTAGAAAAGGTTGAAAATCGTGGGAACTCTATAGAAAATTCGATCAAGAAAGAAGTGTGTACCTTTCATTACTATAAATATCGAGAAAGAGGAGAGATGACATGAAGAACGGAGAAAAGTAGCGTCGAAAGTCAGAGCATAGAAGTAACGACTAATTGCAGCCTTCTCTAAAAGACGACTATTCGCGATCTCTCTCTTTCTTTCTCAATCTTTCATTATTTGCATAGGCTCGTATAGGCGAGCAGCTCAGAAGATTGAATACTATACACAAACTTGTCAGCGAATTTTAATTGAATTATAATATTATCGATTGGTAAATGACAAACAGCTCTCTTGAGTCGATTGTGCACTCATCGAGGAAATCTGTTTTAAATTGTTAAGTCATCGATCCGATTCTTATATAATAGAGAAAAGATTCTTATAAGTAATTATATAATTTTAAATAACAACGTGTCATAGAAATAATTTTTCAACATGATGTCTCGGCCCCGATGAAAATAGTATTTTATTTTGATAGAAAATCATAAAGTTTACTGACGAATTATTTTTAAAATATTGTATAGAATATGTGCTTAATCAGGTTATATTTATCGATTTATTAAGAATTCAATGAAAATCTACAAATAAAAATTGTTTAAGCGACAAGTGCACGTTACTCTTATTAGCCGTATGTTAAATATATTTCAGCGGAATACTCGATACTTTTGGTGTACTTCCACTTGCAAAGACACATGGGTAACTTCCTAATACAAGTATATGGTCCTTGCGTCCTGCTAGTCGTCTTGTCTTGGGTCTCATTCTGGTTAAACAGAGAAGCTACCGCCGATCGAGTGTCGCTAGGTGAAAGCAACTACTTATTGTTATTAATAATTGAAGTGTTCTTTGCGAGACTTCTATCGTGTTACATGTAATCTGCTGTCCTTGGAAATGCACCTTTTATCCTATATCTAGTTATATAGTTCCACAAGAGATGTATGATAAACGGGTGTTATAAGCATGTATACAATATAACGCAGTGTGAACAAAATACATCAAAAGGAATCTATGTTAATGGCAAGCATGAAAATGCACAAGCCGCATAATTTAACATGCAAGCGCTTTCTCAACACGCCGCAAATCCACAAACAATTTCTGACTTTCATTAAGCTTATAACTTTCATGTTAAAATTAAGAGTAATATATTGTTCTTTTACTTTTATCATCATGTACCATTATTAATCATCAGACCTGTAAACATTGATAGGTCTCAAGCTTTTAAAAAAATTGTTATAACTCTCTCTTCGGGGCAGAATTAATTTCTTCTTAAGTGTCATTTTATTCTTTATTTATAATATTATGTCTGGTATTTATTGTCAAAAATGTTACGGCATAAAGAGTTTTCAAATAAAATAAATTATCAAACAATAATAATAATAATAATAATAATACTAATATGACTTGCAAATTGATTGAATATCGAGAAGAGATAATTGAAATTAATTTAACCACAATTAATTTCCCCTATTAGTAAAATTATCTTATTATCCGCTTAAATTTAAGTAAACTTTATTCTTCTGTGATTCATAATTACACAATTCGATTTTTACGTTTTACATTTTGTTTCAGGCATAACTACTGTATTAACAATGACGTTCTTAGGACTCGAAGCAAGAACCGATTTGCCTAAAGTTCCTTATCCTACCGCTCTGGATTTCTTCGTTTTTCTCTCATTCGCATTCATCTTCGCCACTATAATACAATTCGCAGTGGTGCATTATTTCACCAAATACGGATCGGGAGAGTGTTACTTTAGTTCTGATCTAAGCGACACTGAAAGTTCGAGCGAAGAAGAAGATGTAACTAGAAGGTTAATGAAAAATCAATCGGTAAACACAATTCTTCAAAGCGAGAAATTGTTAATTTTTACTTGTTTATTCTTGTTTTTCAAGAACAAATATAAATGCTGAGACACAATCATCGAATCAATAAAATCTAAATAAATTGAAAAAAGACAAGAAAGAGAAAATAACACATTCTAACAGATTTATTAATATTTTTCCTTTCATTTCATTTTTATCAAGTCATAATATAATTTAGTTTCAATGAGAAATAAGTAATGATCCTGACTCATTCACACAAATATTGTTTCAGGCTCGCCGCCTGAAAAATTCCGCGAATTCTAGTGCGCGAGGACGTAGCAACCGCAACTTTGCGATAAATGGCGACAGTATGATCGAAGTGATACCATTGTCAGCAATTTCGATACCCGATAGGGATCCAGCGATAACTGGACACTGGCAGATATCTTGCGTAACCTGCAGCCCACCGCCACGACAAATGCCGCCACCGCCACCATCATCCAGACGAACAACGTCGTCCACGTCGTCCAGGAGACGACATCGACGAACACCTAGATACAATTCGGTATCAAAGATTGACCGTGTCAGTCGTGTAATGTTTCCTTTCTTTTTCCTGACTATCAATCTCTTCTATTGGTACGCATATCTCTCGCGCAGTGAACGGATTCATTACTACAACTCCAACATCGCGTGATAGGATCTCCTTCTTCAAACAAAATTGTAAAGATTACAAATTGCTAGCTAAAAAAGCCAACTGTCTAATTTTCCTCCAATATTAAAGAAAAGGCGAATCTTCTCGTGAATTCGCGTATAAAATTATGGTCCGATTTTATCTCAAACCAAAAAGTGACAAGATTTTATTTGGAAAAGATTAAAATTTGAAAGGATAAAATTCTGGATAAAAGATAAAAATTTGTTGACAATAAATGTTTGATAAAATATTGACGTCATATTAACGTCCATTCCAAAGACGAATATGGAGAAAATAATTAAGTGATACCAGCATAAAGTACATTGCAAGAACTAAACGTGTTTTCTTAAGAAAAATTTAATAAATAAGTAAAGCAAATTCATTAAAGATTTAAATGGAAAAAATATTGTGTCAATATACCTATGATTTTATTTTCCGATTTTCACAATCTTCTTCATCTTGCCTTAAAAAATTAACACTAATATAAAATTGTTAGAGTAGTAAGAGTAAATCTTCCTATTATTTGTAATTAGATAATAAAATTATATTATGCAATTTTTTATAGTCACAGATAATTATGGAATATATCTAAGTTAAATTAAATTAAAAATTATTAGATAAAAAAATTAGGTAAAAAAATTATGATTTCTTCATAAGGAAATAAGAAAAATCGCAATCATTTATTGGGCATTGAAAACTGCAGAAATGTAATGAAAGTTTAAATTGGAGCTTGACTTATCCACACAAAGAATCCATTAAGGGAAGCAAATATTGTAGAATGTAGATTATGTCGACATCTTACAGAGTAATTGGAATCGTTCAACGATAATTATCTAACGAAAACTTGACAGTTTGCATTACCAACATAAAATGTTATTAAATGTATAATATACAGGTATTAAAATGCAAAAAGTAATCAACAAGCAAATATATACCTTAAAAGAAAAATATGCATATTCTTCTTTATATTAAATTTGAAAATATATATTGTTTTATTTTAATAGTTATTTTCATGCAGACTGAATAAATTTAATATACTGAATAATAAATTTATTTTCTCTTCTGAACAGAACAAAAAAAAGATATCCTATATAAAAATTTATTTTCAATAAACAGCATTACATACTAAGAATATCATAAGAAAACTTAATCTAATTTCCTGTTAGCTATGCTTGAATTACAACTGTAATAATACATAACAAGTTTACGTATGCCCTTAGATAAATGTGTTCAAAATCGCAATGCAATACAAAACATGTTATGATATTAGATAGCAACAGTGTGTATGTCAGGAAGAATATAAGTTCTTTTAAATATATATTTATGTATGTAAAGAGGATACTTATGCTTTTCGTTTTTGTTTGCGCAATAACATATATTTCACAGAGCATTCCTCTTCAAGTGTGCTTGGAAGTATTTGCCGTCTCCTTTAGTCGCTTGTTTATTAATTTCCTTGTGACGCTCTCGGCTCACTATCTCTTCCAAAACTTCTCCGTCACCTTTAATTAATCTTTATAAAAACACAAAAATTCATTAACAAACGTATACGGATGTATAGGGAAAACAAGAACAAATATAAAATTGTTATTACATTTTAATTTCATTATCTGTGTTCAATTGTTTTGCAACATATTTACCTATGTCTCCCAGTCTCTTCATCGTATACTCTGCGTACGATGCTCTGTCGTTTTTCCCATTCCTCTTTCGTCATAGGTGCCATGGCTTTCGCTCTTTCTATTACATTCGAGACAATTTCCTTCATTTTTTCCTTGCTATCTTGAACTTGTTTATTTTCTTTAGACTTCTTCTTGCTGTGTCCTTTTTTCTTGGACGCAGATTTCTTTAGTTTCTTTTTCAATTTCTTCTTCATCCGCTTTTTCTTCTTCCGTTTCTTCATAGCTTTCCTCAATTTCTTAGCCTTCTTCTTAGCCTTCTTCTGCTTCTTCTCGTCCTCTGAGCTATCAATACTGCTGCTACTGCTACTGCTGTTAGTATCACTACTGCTGCTGCTGCTGCTGTTGCTACTGCTGGAACTACTACAGCTACTGTCGCTACTGCTGCTACTGACACTAGAAGAACTAGAAGTAGACGAAAATCTTTTCCTCTTTAATTTCTTGCGATTTGGCTGAGTTATATCTTGTGTATTTTCTACTTTTTTCTTCTCTTTCTGTTTTATTTGTTCAACTGTTTCTGTGTCATCTTTTATTGAATCAGACTTTTCTATCTTAGAAATAGATCTTGGTTGATCCCGAGGTTGATCCGTACGTTCCTTTGAACTATTGTCTCTTTGACTAGTCGCGTCATGACCAGTATTTCTATAGTTTGGTATCCTTGATCTGTTATGATTAAAAGTTCTTTCGAAAGATCTGCTATTATATCTACCATAATGATAATTGTTATACGTATCTCTTCTATTTCTATTATAATAATTATGATGTCTGTAAGGTCGCGAATAACCATAATCTCTTTGATTATTCAAAAAGTTACTGTGCCTCCGATTATAGACTCTGTGATCGTAACTATATCTTCCACCTCTTCTTTGCAATTCTGTACTAGTTTCATATTTTTTCGTTCTGTGCTTTACATCCTCATCTCTATCCTTTCTTGCTTTATACGTATTTCTCTCCGAATTTGAAATATCAGAAGAACTAGAACTATTGGAACTACTTCTACGTTTCGACTTCTTTCTCTTATCCTTACTGCATACGTTCCGTCTTTTTCTGTTCTTTTCAGAATCATAATTGTTGGAAGACGAAATTGAATGTCTCTTTTCTATCTTCGCTTTGTCAGATGATTCTGTCTCCATAGCTGCAGGTTTCTCCACATTATTCATCATAACGATCGATAATCTATTAAAAAAAATTTTGTTTAAAGCAAATCTTATAGAATGAAATCCATTAAAATAAATGATTTACATAATAAAATCATCTGTTTCGTATGATCTATATCTATGAGATTACTGCTCATTTACTCCTCATTACTACTTATTTTTTGTATCAATATAAAGTTTTTCGTTTTTCTCGATAAAACATGTTTATTTTAGCTAAATAAATATGTACATAATCATCCATAAGCCACAGAAGACTTCGCTTTCCCAGCAAAATTCAGTGTTTACCTATACTACAATACATTACAAAAACTAACCTTTATATCCGCCATGCTCATCGATTATTACGTCTTGTCATGTAAAATTACGATACCAAGCAACTAATAACCTATCTTTTTCTCATTTATTAATATTTATCGATCGAAAAATTGACAATTTATCAAAACGTGCCAAATAATTACCTGCAATGTTCATAACTTTCTAACCATCTCCGTCCGCTCCATTGGCTCCATCCATTGAGTGAAGGAGTCTCCGTCGTTCCGTTTCGAAAACACGGCGCGCAAGACTGCTTTTCATATACTCGCTTTATTTAGGGTTTTTCAAGCAAGCTTGCCTTTTTCGTATCTTTCTATTGGTAATAGATTTTACCCAAGCCCAAGAACCACGAAATATCACTAAACCAATTGTAATCGCGCACTTATCAGTTATCAGTAATCGCGTATGAAGCGTAGAAAATCATAAATATGATATTAACAATATTTTATACTAAATAATTTTTATATATTTAATCAACATTGAATTATAATTTCTTCCATTTGTTCACTTTAAATATTTCAAATAAATAGATCTTCAGACCAATATTAAATTTTGCGCGTTTTTTGCATGACTAATATGGCGTTCTTTAGCATTAATAAAAACAGTGCTTTATTTTTGGCAAATGTAAGTATTTATAATCGAATTATGTATGTATGTATGTATGTATGTTGTACGTATACATTGAAATATTTATCGAGTTTTTCATCGCTTGCTTCAATTTAATAAAAATTGGATTTGGTGATAAAGCTGCTATGGATTCACGAATACTTCAATATATTTTAATTCAATTAAAATATGTACATTAAAAATCTTTTTATGTTATTTATTTACGTTGATAAATTTATAAATAACGTATCAGATATCTTGACTAATTAAATTAAAAAAATATATCCTATCAATAGACATGTCAATTCAAAATGATGCGATTGGGAACAAATTGCTGCTGCAAAGATAAAGTACTCTTTATGCCTAAAAATATATGTAAACTTCTATTTTTAATATTAACAATTGTATGTTTTACTATCATATTAATTATTATATTTTATTTGATATTATGAAAATTGTGGTTAATTGTGCAAGAAATATTTTTATATTCATAATTATAGATACGCACAGCGATACCATTGTAAAATTACAATTTAGACCTTATTTTTTCTTTATAATAATATAAATAATAAAAATAATAAATATGTAATTACTACTTTATATATTATAATATTTTGTTTATGATAACAAATAACATATAAGTATGCAGTCTTAATTCCATTTAACGTTTCTGAGACTCTATTTTTATACTTAAATATTTGCTTTGAATATTATAAAACACACATACACACATACATACGTGCGCGCGCACTTACTGTGTATATACATTAAATCATCACGCTAACGACAATATATCATATTAACAACTTAAAAGCATCACACACGAAGATATATGCGTTAAAAATGATTAACTATAGACAAAAATCAATTCTTCCATGACTTTCGTTTTTATTTTTCTTTCAATATTTCTTCTTTATAATATTTTTTTCTTCCTAAAGCTTAATATTAAATTAAAACGAAGTTTATAAGCACAGAATAAAATTATGTCAATTTTCGATTTAATTTAATTTTGCAAAACAACTTTATAATCGGCATATTATTTTACCCTTTGAACTGTTTTGCAGATGCCGGTAATCGCGCGATACAACCGAATCATCAGTAAATGCCATTATATAATTGTAGTCATTTAAATCAAATATATATTTTTCGATACATTTAGATTTAAAAATATCAACTAAGAAGACAAAGAAACAAAGATAAGATTTGTAATAATGGTAAAAAAATCTCTAATTATAAATTATATATATTACTCTAATTATATTTCGGTTACTAAAATGGTTTGCTTGTGCACAAAGATTTATTACAATTTGATCTTTGGTACACATCAGTTATCATCAACGATTACCAAATGTACTGAACTCGATCCTGCTTTACCCTGGAACTCAAAAAATCATCGAGACAATCAGTGTGCCTAGAAAGGGACTATTGGCCTGTGACGAATCGCCTGCGAGTCTAGAACAGAGATTTCAAGAAATCGGTATAGATAATACCGAATCTACGAGACGTGCATATCGAGAAATGCTATTCTCCGCGAATAAGGTCGCTCTGCATGCGATGACAATTTTAGATTAACAGCGAATACATAATGCAACAATTATAGCTTCACAATTGCAGTAATACTAAAAAAAAAAAAAAAAAAAAAAAACATAACTCATAGCATTTAGAGCAATGCCCCAATTATCAGAAAAAAATTATTTTTTTCTTCCGAACTTACAAATATTACGATATGATGAAATAAAAGATAAATTAATATAACAACCTCGCACATTATTTTTTTTCACTTTAGTCTCAATTGTCGCAGTATATAAGCGGTGTGATTCTCCATCACGAAACAATCCATCAGAGAACGTCGGAAAATGTGGAATTTGTCGAATTCCTACGTCGAAGGAACATCGTAGCCGGCGTGAAAGTTGATCGAGGTCTGGTACCTCTTTTCGGCACCGAAGATGAAAAGACTACGCAAGGTTTGGACAACTTACAAGAGAATTGTATTCGGTACAAAAACGAGGGCTGCCATCTCGCCAAGTGGAGATGTGTGTTTTCGATTTCGGAACGATGTCCCAGTCGACTGGCGATGATTACCAATGCAAATGTTCTTGCGAGGTGTCTGATATATAATCTTAATATATTCGTGGAAATTAAGTGTATCGTGTGATTGATAGAAACTCGAATCGACAGAAATCTGCGCTCTTGTTGCACAATAAACTTCATCGAAAATGTTTCAAGAAAATCTACATATTTGTCGTATACATTGCACAATTGCAATAATACAATAATTATATTAACATAGATAAAAATTTATAATTGGTCTTCGATAAAATCGCGCGTAGAAGCATATAAAAATTCAACATGAAAAAAGTCATTGCGTATATGAGATGAAGTTTTATTGTGTAACACAAAATATATTTTTAAATATCTCGTTTTATACACACAGGTTCGCTAGCATCTGCCAAAGCGCGCGAATGGTTCCCATAGTAGAACCGGAAATATTGAGTAATGGCGAATATGGTATAGATCGGGCTTTACAAGTTCATGAAGAGATGCTGTCCATCCTGTTTCGTGCTTTGAATGAGTATCACGTGTATCTTGAGGGAATGATTTTGAAACCAGCGATGGTACTGTCGAGTATAAAAAATGCAATAAAATGCACGCCGCAGGTATCATTAATATTTTTTTAATAATATAAAGCAAATTATAATTTTTCTCTAGGAATTATTTTTATTGAATATATTGCTGAAACATTATCGCGATCATAGATTGTTGCTGAGTATACACTAAGAGCATTACGAAGAACAGTACCCGCGGCAGTTCCAGCAATTTTTTTTCTAAGCGGCGGTCAAACTGACGAAGAAGCTGTGTTAAATCTAAATGCCATTAACGCATATGACCATAGAAAGCCATGGAGGCTCAGTTTCTGCTATGGGCGTGCTCTGCAGGTGTTTTAAAATTTATATATAAATTCTTTGATAAATTTTGATGCTATTCCAAACTGATAAAAACAATTCCACAAGTCCTATCTTATCGTCTACTTTCCTAGAACGCGGCGATGAAAATTTGGAAAAACAATCCGGAAAATGAAGATAAGGCTCAAGCAATGTTCCTTAAAAGGGCCCAATTATGCTCCGAAGCATCTTCGGGAGAATTACAAGTTGAACAGTACAACATGTGCACTCGCTTGTAAAGATTAAACAGATGCTTAGTTTTTTCTCCTTGTGGAATAATTATATGTACAACGCATTCATCAAATTTTATAATCGCCAGAAAAATTAATATGATATAAGTATATATTTTAAATATATATTGTTAAATCATTAAAGACTATTTTTTAGACTATTAATAAATGTGACTATTAATGTGCAAATTAAATCATTTTCAACAAAATGTACATGATTATCAGACGTGAATTCTTTCTTTACTTCCAAAATATTCAAAGGTCATATATATATGTATAATATAAAAATTTGGTTATATAAATAAATTATACAGATAAATCATTTAACATGCTAAACGTAATGCCTATAAAAATACCAAATGATAGCTTCTTGTATACAGTATAATCTTTATCAATCTCATGTGAAAAAAGCCTACTTACAATTAGATTAGGCTATAAATACATATATCTATTATTGCATTCACTATTGTATTTAATACATTTTCATGTATATAATTTTCACTTATACTTGAAAATGTAGAATTTTAAACACGTTCAATAGATGTAATATGAAAAATCAACAAGACATTAATCCGAGGAAAAAATCCAAGAATGTCGTACCATTTAACGTTCACTGATAAGAACCAATTAAGGCGAGCGAATGGGTCGAGCCCACTTCAATAAAAACTATCACGCACGATAAAATAATCTGATGATTAAGTAAAAGGAGACGCATCTGACGTTACTTATGAGCGCATTTACGAGTGCTTCAACCTTTAACACTGTTTAAAGAATTCCATCAGAGTTTCGTTAAATGTTAAAGCAAGGTGCCCTTGACTGACCTCTAAAGTAACGGTTCTCAATGCAAGGCTCGCGTACGCGGAACTTGCTCGTCTACTGGTCGATATGTCGTCATCTATCCCCGTGAATTGCTCCGCGACGATGCTCCAATGCCCTCTTTCCTGGATAACTCATCACCACGTGGTATACACCAGTAACGTAACAAGCGCGCGCTGCGTAATAATATGGCGATCTCCCAGTTCAAGAAAATGATAAACTCTTTTTTGTAAAACGAGGATAATCATGCATGATCTATGAGATAAGTGTTATTCGATGCCATTTTAACTATCGGTGATTGTTTTTGTTATTATTAAAACATTAAATAATAACAGTGGAGCCAAAATGTGAATTAAATTATGTATATAATGTATGTATCATTTTGCAATTTTATACTTTTATTTAATGTTTTATTATATTGCATTACATTTGTCCACATAAATTTTTTCAACTTATTTTGTTACTTTAAATTTTACAGACGTACTACGTTTACTCTTTGATCCTAATCTAAAGTTCATATGAAAACGAACCGTGCGTTGTCCGCCCTGTCTGTTTGCGATGCCGTTAAGTTGAGCACCTTCATGTACCAGAGCTTAAAGCGCACGCGCGCGATAAACGCACAATCAGACTTTGAAACCGCTGACGGCTGGCGTAGTCTTTCTCAGTCACACTCCAACCATCAGGTGGATTGTAACAGGCGTTCGCGCGATTCTCACACACGAATTGTGCCTCATTTACAACTAGGTGAGTCCACGTGCTGCCTCGTTTTTCACGACAGAAAACTTCTGTGTCCATGGGACGTGACTTCCTACAGGTATTGATCGTCTCGCATTGCCTCGAGGAATACCTGAAATTTTATGCTCAATCTATCTATAAGACCTTCGACCTTGACTGACATTTCGTCATTTTCGTCGTTAACCATCGCCGTGCGCAACTTATTCGCTCGCAATTCAATCAAGACAAGTATCAATCGCCTTTATATTAGTATCGAAATTTTTATTTTCTCTATCATGGCTCCGAAATTATCATACGCTCGCTGCACGCGTGACCCACCTACGCACGCAAGCGCGTAAGAATATAAAAAAGATATTTTTGCAACACAAAATGTCTCGACAACGGAGTCGAGTCTGAGTCTATAGGTTGAAGCAATTTTTCCAAAGATTTGAGTAAATATAAAATTTTTATGTCAATTCAATTTTTTTATAATATAAAAATATGTATTTTTTACGTCAATTATTATAAATATCTTCATTGTCATAAAATAAACATAGATATCAAGTTAGTGTATCTATAATAAAAGTTTATCATTATAGACTTTACGTCAGCTTCAATAGTTAAACGTATGAATATACTAAAAAGAAATAGTTAGAGCTATATCTGCACCTTAAAAAGTTCTAATAAGTGAAGCATAATCGTTATTTATCAGAGAGTCGAGAGAGGATCTTTTGTGTTGGATACATACAGCATCACGCACAATAAAACATATGTTTATATGTATCACTAGATAGGTAAATGTAATAGGGCATATTCGTATTCCGTTATACGATCGATAATTTAAAGCGCTGTCAATCTCTTATTTTCTCTCACAAGAAAATTTGAATAATTCTTTCACTTCCTTTCGGAAGTTGGAAAACTTATAATTAGCCCAAACCTGATCTAATAATGTATTAAATGTACTAATAATTTAAATTAAAAAATTAAATTAGCCTTTCATTTGTTAAAAAAATTCAGCAAAAATAAAAGTGAAAATGTAATAAAAACTAATCATCACCAAACTTCTAATTAACGTTAATTAAATTATCATTAATTAATTACACAATACCGATATATAAAATTAGAAGTTATCTAATATGAACAAATATCCTTTGTGCAATCCGATGCTTATACCTATGCGTGAACATACGGACAGTTATTTTGACAGATGAAACAGTCATGCATGTCAATTTATTAGCGAAACACATATATATGAGGCTATATCTCGTATGTAGGTATAGATGCAAATACTCAGCCGGAAATAACTCACTGCCAATGTTACATTAACTGCCATACATATTAATTCTTTTATTTTGTAAACACAAATAATCCAAATCATTTACTAGTTTTATATTTTTTTTACATAACGAAATGTATTCTCACTTTTGTTATATTGTAATGTATACTCACTTTTGTTATATTGTAATACAGCAATTATTGTAGCATTGCAAAATTTTTGATTAAAAAGAAAGAGAAATTCATACTTAAAACGCATCACTTATCACTTTGAATTTTTTTACACATAATGGTAAAAAATTAATATGCATTTACTACAGTCTTTTTCTATAGTCTGGAAGTTGTGAAAATGATCGTTATTTTATATCTACAGTGTCGCTATTTCGAGTATCGTTAGAAAGTAGTTTGTTTAATAATTCTGGCTTTCACTTTTCTTCGATAGCTCTGATATTTGCATAGCGACAGCTATCATAAAAATACAGTTGGTCTAAATATATCGCTATGCAAATTACAGTCTGGCGAGTTACCAACTTCTATATCTACGTCGCGCATTTGTTTTCCCGCTGATGATGCAATTTAGGTCCACGTATGTGCGCGTTGTTATAATTTAAAAAAAGGCTCTTAAATCCTGCAGTCTTTCACTTAATCACTTTCTCAAGTTTGTCATAATGCAGAATTCATAAATAAAAGAAAGATATCACATACCGTTATTCAATATTTGATGGAGAATTAATTCTTTCTAGCAAATAGTTTTCTAATGTAAAAAGCGTAAATCTAATAAAGCTCTCAATTATTTTTTAATCATATGCTTTTGGTCCTTTTGATTTTAATGAATGATATAATTGTACGATATGATGTGAATTAAATTATGCTAAATGAATGCAGACTTTACCTGTCAATCTACTTACGTTGTCTGTAAATATTACGTGAATCTGATATAGACACCGCGTATGCCAAGTAGCGTATGTGCGCTACTTGTGCGAATGTGACTGGTTTCAGGTTCACGCAAGTTTCGCAATGTTCTCGCGCAACCTTCTCGCGGATATGAATCAGCTGGAAAACGGCGCAAGCGTATCACTAGTCTCCACACCAAGTAATCGAGTAATATGTAATTCTATCGGCATTATGTATTGAACGTGGAACATATTCGATTCGAACCGCGAAAAATTATCAACAATACGACACAAAATCGCTTCTCCAAAAATTGTTCTAATTTTGTTCTATCAAATATCGATCTAATATATATTCACTAATTACTAATAATAGATTACTAACAGTACACATAAAATGAAAATAGATCGATATATAAGATATATGTATAGCAGATGTCTTCAATTTTCTTTCTGTTTATTTCTATTGTATTGTATACATACATGTATGTATATTAGAGTATTTTTCTTATTATATATGCGTAAAAAATTGATCAATATAAATATATAATATAGTCTTTGCTAAAAACGACAAATGTCTATTTGTGCGCTTGCATTATTTTCAATCTTATTCACATATATCTTAAAGAACTTACACATTTCCGAATAAATGTGGAATGTGCTATATAAAGGTAATCTGAATAAGTATCGTGCAAAGTCATTTTTTCGTTCATAATTTAACAAAAGAGCATACCTAATTATCAATCATTCAATTCGACTGCATAACAACTTTATCGCATATTGCGCCACAAGATGCAAAAACAATTTACATAAAATTGCGTAATACATAATATCTTTAGAGATAGTGATTACGTCAAAATATCACCAAACAACAACGATATCGCGGCACAAACAATTCACTACTCATAACTTTCCTTAAGAGTATTTTCGTAAAAAAATATAAGGAAAATTTGGAAATTTGAAATTGATATTAAGTTTGTAATTTAAATAAAGCTATTTATTAAAGTTATTTATTATGAAATCATGCGAGAGAAATATTTTCCTACTTGTTGCACTAAATCCTTTAATTATATCAAATGTACAGAGGTATTTTATTTTATACTAATCTAACCGCGATCGTCGAGACGAATATTTCCGCAGCATTAAACTCATAAATTTATTCAGAATGAAACAAGATTGATATTAAAACTTACAGATAATATTAACCGACAGTGAATGAAGCAATTATAGTGCCGTGAAAGATGCGGCGATGATTATCAGAATTCCGTCGAATCTAGCAACGTCGGCGTCTCAGATATTACATGTACGAGAATTCAGGGTGAGCAGGGGTTTACTAAAACGCGCACGCCAAGAACGTCTGCGCGTGGTGCATTGCGGCTAGCTCGCCCTCTCCTTCCCTGCCGGTACGACGCGGATGGCGCGCGGTGCGTTCTCCGCCACCCTCAAACATTCTCACCTACTCTCCTCACAATCCTACTTCTTCGTTCCCCTGTCTTGTGATGATAATACTGCACTGCAGCCAGGTAGCATTGCACCCTGCACCTCGTATCTGCGCCAACGACAACGGCGACGAGGGTGCGGACGGACGAAGCGACAGTCAGCGACTCGCGGCCATGCGAGATGCGCGTGTAAATTTATTTGTCGGAGAACGCGACGCGACGCGACGAGCGGGCGAGATGTAGTCGAGGGGCATATATACCGCGAGCCGCGCGGGGCTCATCAACCCCTATTATGCCCCGGTGTGCTGTATCCACGAGTTCTTCTTCTCATTTTCTTATTCTCAGTTTGTTCGCGATCTCTCTTTCTCTTCTCTTCTTATTCATTCGATCAATCATTATTAAAGGATGCACCGTTCCTGCTGTTGCAGTCTCGTTTCTCATTTCGCGGAGGTGCGAAACTATGATCGGCAAACGATAAGCGGGTTCGTCAATAATTGTAACGTTATTTATGACGGTAGCTCCACAGTCGCGACGATTTTCCTTTGAAATGATTACATTATCAACATGAATATCCACCGCGTTTATTATTATAATTGTCATTATTCTTTCGCATATGTTCGTTCATACACATCCAGCAATTACAACATTGAGAGACTGCGCGTTCTTATTCATGTTCGGTGACGTCACAGCGGAGCCGTCGCTTTGATCGTTCCGAGTTCTCGAGAAAAGTAAGAGTCTATATGTGATCCTTGATCCGCAGGATAGCGTTTGTGATTGATACTGACAATGAGTTTAGAGTCCGAAACTCAAAGAAATTATCATCGCTTATATTTTTATTCCATGATGTGATCTCTTTCAATTTTAATAATATTAGAAGGTTGTTTCTGATGGAAATCGTTTTATTTAAGGCTGTATTAGACAACGGACACGTTGTCAGGAATCCTCCTCCGTGGATAAGTTATAATATATATCGCCGAATAATCTCGAATTTCGTTTAGTTTAGTATTGATGGAATTAGCACTTTCAAATTCATAAATGTAGCTTTATTTTATTTACTTTCGAGGGAAGGGAATAAAAGCTATGATTATTAACTTGATGAATTAACTTTGTGTAGATTATTTTAATCCCCGATTTATCAGAATTATTAGTTTGCTCGCACACCATATATCGCTAGAATTCATAATTTTTTTTCAATCGGATAATGGAGTAATCTTTGTATTGCAGAAAATGGTCGCGGAAAAGTATAGCAAACTCGAACCCGAGCTGAAGGAAGAATTGCGCACGATTGCTCAACAGATCGTATCACCTGGCAGAGGTATCCTAGCCGCTGATGAATCGACTGCAACGATCGGTAAACGTTTTCAGGACATCAATGTCGAAAACACTGAAGAAAACCGCAGGGTTTACAGACAATTACTTTTCACTACAGCGAAAGTAAGTCTAGTTAATAATTAATGAAGAATTTACAAAAATTAATTTGTATTAATGTTTAATTAAGTCAATAAATATTTAATTTATATAGCATAAAATATTAATTTTATTAAAACTTTAATGTTTGTGATTTTATTTTTCTGTCAGTTGCATAATTTTGCTGTAGTAGAATGCTCCGTTTAATAAATACGATTTGACGTTGATTCTTCTCAGGATGTCATCGGACAGCACATTTCTGGAGTGATTCTCTTCCACGAGACTCTCTATCAAAAGGCTGACGACGGTACGCCGTTCGTCGAGTTGCTGAAGCAGCGTAACATCATCCCCGGCATTAAAGTTGACAAGGGCGTCGTTCCACTCTTCGGCACGGATAACGAATGCACGACTCAAGGTCTCGACGACCTCCAGGCGCGTTGTATCCAATACAAAAAGGATGGATGCCACTTTGCCAAGTGGCGATGTGTGTTGAAGATCACGAAAGACACCCCGAGCAAACTCGCCATCATGGAGAACGCCAACGTGTTGGCTCGTTATGCTTCAATCTGTCAGAGCGCCAGGATCGTGCCAATCGTAGAACCTGAGATCCTTCCTGACGGTGACCATGATCTCGCCCGTTGTCAACAGGTTTCGGAAGAGGTTCTCGCGGCCGTTTACAAGGTATCGTGAACTTTCATTGCAGGGAAAAAGAATATTACGCGCGCGAATCTTGCTATAAAGCAAATCTCTCAATTTCATTAATTAATATACGTTCTAATGTGCATTTACTGCCGCAGGCACTCTCAGATCATCATGTATATCTCGAAGGAACGCTGCTAAAGCCTAACATGGTGACGCCAGGTCAAAGTTGTCCAAAGAGGGCGACTCCTCAGGAAATTGGTGCCGCTACGGCGACAGCATTGTTACGTACCGTGCCATCAGCGGTACCTGGCATCACTTTCCTCAGCGGTGGTCAATCTGAGGAGGAAGCATCGGTTAATCTTGATGCCATTAATAAATTCCCGGCGAAAAAACCTTGGGCATTAACTTTCAGTTATGGACGCGCTCTTCAAGCTTCCGTACTTCGTGCTTGGCAAGGCAAGACCGACAAGGTCGCTGCCGGTCAAGAGGAGCTGCTTAAGAGAGCTAAGGTAAGTAATTGTACTGTAAAATCAATTTAATTTATTTTTATTGCACGAGTAAACTTGAATTTGCTCCATCTCTTTATGCAATTAGTAACTATAACTCTCGTTTTATTCATTTTTTTTACTTATCTTTTGCATTTACACATAGTGACTGTTAATAGTTCTCTCTCTCTCTCTCTCTCTAATTTTTGTTTCATTTTCCTAAGTGATTTTCTGTTCTAACATTTATGTTCGGAATTATCTTTTGCCACTTTTGCCATTTTTGCCTTATTTTTTGTATACTTACAATAAGTAATTTCTTTTAGAAAAATAGTGTCTTGTAATTTTTCTGTAGTTGTCGTTTTAATAGTCGCACGGAGCACTCGAAGCTACGCAAAGCTGTATACTTGTTTTGCATGTCTATGTAATATGCGCTTGTTTAGGCAAACACTGCAGCCTCTCAAGGCAAATACGTCGCCGGTAGCATTTCTAGCAAAGCCGCTGACACCTCTCTCTACGTCAAATCTCATGACTACTAAAAAAAATTTCATATTTTTTGCGCAGTTCGTTTTTCGTGACAGTAAGTATATAATAGTTAAACAATGTGTATATGTACGTATGTATGTGAGTTTTGATTGACTTTTTTCATAGATCAATCCTTGTATCTTTAATTATTCGCAGTGGAAAACAACTTTGTTCTCTTTATATACAATACAAACTAACAAACAAACAAATTAATAACAAGTTATAATAAACTAATTTTTTTCTATCTTTTGTTTATATGTGCGTATGTACATACATACATATTTGTGCTTTTTATTTAATTCTTCTTTCATTTTCCTTGAAGAAATGTATGTTAAAAAAATATAACTTTAATAAAAATTAATTTTCTAAATTTATGGATGTGATGGTATACATGTGACATCTTAAGAATTAAATTTTTTTTTCTATACGTACATATAAGCACATGTATTCAAGAACTGTCTAATTTAAATATTCAATTTTCTTATTAACATTAATTAATAAAATTTAATTACAATCATTGTATTATAAAATTACAATTCTTTTCATATAATAAAATTTGAAAAAACGAATCCGTTCGTTTATTTCACAATTTCGCAATTAGTTCAATTAGTATTGCAAGTAAAAGTATCTTTTGTTTTTCGACAGGCTAACAGCGAATCGGCACTTGGCAAATACGCAGGTGGCGTGGCTGGTGCTGCAGGAGACGCAGCACTTTTTGTCGCCAATCACGCGTATTAGGTTGATCCATAAAGAAATTCAATATACTGTTAGAAATATAAAATTAAACAGTCATTGGAAACATCTCGTAGGATCGCATTATCAACGTTCTTTCCATTGAAATCATGAAAAAAGAAAGGGATTCCTTCGAGAATAATCGAAACGCACACGAAGCATCCGAAGTTTCCAAGAAGATATTATTCAGTTCCAAGATTCGATTGTTCTTGTTTTGTTTTAATATAAATATTCTTAAGTGATTCTATTTCTGGCGGATTTAATCGTATGATTTTTTAAATTAAGTTTTAACCAATCAAATTTTTTTAAATGTAAATTTCTATCGGTCGAATATAATTTTAATTAAATCCCACGTTATACCCACGTAATTCGATTGACGATTCAAATCAATAATTTGCATGTCGAGTATGTGAATTGAAATTTTATCGAAATATCTCTATTCAACAGTCAGTTAGTTTAATGAATAATTTCATAATGAATGTACAAAATATCGAATTTAGAATTATTTTATAGCCTGGCCTATCGTGTTTGATTTCTTGTCAATACTCTCGCAGCTGTTCTCTGATTCATGTAAATCACGCGGTATTCAGCAATTAACTTGACAAGATTCAATTTTACTGCAGGCATCAGATGATCGAATAGAAGTCCGAGACATCGAGAAAATACGAGCAGATTTTGCGACATTCGATATTATATGACATCCATTATTATTAAATTCTATAATAGTACGATATAAAGGTAGATATATACATATCTGCATGTATGATTAATATCAATATAATACTCTTCGTATATAAAATAAGAGCACAGAAACTATCCAAAATAAAATGAATCTTAAATGCAGTTGTCTGTTAGCGATTGTATCGAGTTTTACGAAAGCATGCTATATTAATTGTGTCTCATCTAAACTTATATATGTATATATTATAATATTATACTATGTACATTTGGCATAGACCTAATCTATTGAAAATTATATGGTATATCGTCGATGTTAATTATATTTATTGTATTTTGGATTTATTGTATCTAGGTCACCAAATACAACTGTGGAGGGCAAAAAAATTGTTTTGTTCATGATTTATTTTGAAACTTTTCTTTAAAATTTATTGACTTAAATAACAATTAATTAAGTCAATAAATATACCAAAGATAAAAGATATAAGTTTCAATTTTGATTGAAACTTATAAAATTTCTTACGTAAATCCAGTATAGAAACTGAGATATTTATTTAAAAATAACGACAAACACATTTTTTAAGAAAATTTTTGAAAAAAAAAAAAAAAATATGTTTGTCTCGATTCAATGACTGTTTCTCCAAAAATAAATTTTGAAATGTAGTATATACAACTATAATCGTATATAAATAATAAAATTACGTAAGTGGATGTAGCACGTGCTACATGCACCACGTCCAATTTCGATGCTACGATTTTATCGACTGTTACAAAATGAACATGATACTTAGTTCTTCTATCGAGAAACGTGCGGCGCTAGTGTATTGAGTGCTGAACGCGTGTTTTCAAAACGGTATAACCTATAATTTATGTTGCAACACTTGCAACAGAAATTATATAGTATATACTAGAAATTACTGTCATTACAGAAAGTAATAATATATTCCCAATGTTCATCTTCTAATAATACTACATTCTGTATTTTTAAAGGCGTTTGTTATTTCCGTCATGCATGCACGTAAATGTAAAAATTAACTAGAAGATTGAAAACAAGTAGAAAAGAAAGGATTCTTTATTGACTTATTTTTAATGTTTTCTATTATTATTCCCTATTAAAATTACATGTAAATTATTGTATCAAGATTCGATTGTTATAAAATAGCTATCCTATCTCTCTCTCTCTCTCTCTCTCTCTCTCTCTCTCTCTCTCTATACTTATATATATATATATATCAATACATGAAGAACTAAAATTTATCTTTTTCATTAACTCATTATTTTTGTTAATAGCAGATCTCTCTTTAAAAAATGCAACAGATAGCTGGTAAAAATAAGCTGGTAAGTAATTTAATATCCTTATAAATGTAAATAATGTAATTTAACAAATAGAAACAAAGGTTAATAAATTGAGTATTATAGACATAAATCTATATCTGCTGAATATATACAATTCCACATACAGATTTCGTGTGTAAAAATTTAAAATGCTTAATGATGGAAGAAGAGCCTGAAGTGATAAAGCATTTTTTTGGAGTGTATTTACTATATTGTATGAATCCAAAGTACAAGGGAAGAACCTATATAGGTTATACTGTAGATCCAAACCGAAGGATTAAGCAACATAATGCTGGTAAGAAGCATGGTGGAGCTTGGAAAACTAGTAATAGAGGACCATGGTAATTAAATTCTGTTCTCTTATTTATATACCCATATATACTTATTTATATATACATATATATATAGATAAGTTGATAAAGTAAGTACTATATATATTGTATATATGTATATTCTAAATTTCAAAAATTATATTCAGGAACATGGTCTTAATTGTTCATGGATTTCCTAACAGCACTTCTGCACTTAGAGTAAGTTTTTAGCAAATTTCTATTTTCTTAAGAAAAACAAATTGTGATATTTTTTTTGGAACAAAAGTATTTTAATAATTAAATATTCCAATGTTTTAGTTTGAATGGGCTTGGCAACACCCACATATGAGTAGACGATTGAAACATATTCCCAAGAAGAGGTCATCACAGAAAATGTTTGATTTTCGTTTGATCATCCTATCCGAGATGTTAAAAATTGGACCTTGGTGCCGCCTACCTTTGATAGTACGATGGTTGGACTATGAATTTTCCAAGAATTATTATGGACGCATATCTCCACCATTACACATGCCTATATGCTATGGCAAAGTCATTAGTTCTAAAGTTAAGCAAACACAAAAAGTAAAAGAAAATGACATTCTATCACAAGAATCACATTTGTTAGTGAAAAAGTCACCAATGTTTTGTTCTCTTTGTGATTCGAGTGTGATGGAAAAAGATTCTGTTACTTGTGTAAAACCAAAGTGCAATTTGATTGTTCACTTAATCTGTTTAGCGACAGAATTTTGCAAAGATGGGATGATTCTACCGATTGAGGGTATTTGCCCTGCGTGCAAGTCTAATATCCTCTGGGGAGATCTCATAAGAAAAAAGAATGGTTGTTATCAAGATCTTGAAGAAATTAATACTGATTTTTCCAGTGATAACGACGACGTGTAATTACCGTATAAATAATATCTTATATAATTATTTAAAATAAATGCAAATGTTTTATCTTGTACTTCAAATCAGCCATCAAAGTTATATATACTTATTATATTTCTCTCTTAATATATCTGTATTCGAATATATCGAATCGTTAAGGAACGAGCAAAATCTACCGTTCGATTCGCTCGATTCGCATAACGTCATTGACGATCGCGGACCGGCGATTGGAAATTTGATTAGATTTATAGTGATAACTCGTTAATAGTTTTAAAGGAAAACGGAGGGTATAAGAGCGTCGAGACCTCTCTCGGAGCAATCGCATACTATGGATTCACATTCTTCGTATCATCGAATAATAGCAACCGTCCGAATTGGTTTATCAAGTTCCAGAATTAAATAATCTAATATTCATGCGACAATATCAGTGCTACACCTACAGTAATGGATCTATGAAAGAGCAATTATATTTGTACATACTATTATATATATTTTTACTAATTAATTATTATATCTCAATTAATCTTATCTACATCTTACTATATATACATATTTATATAATATTGCATGCTATTCATAAATCTATTACCTGTAGTAGCTTTAGCCTAAATATACGCATTCACTCACCGACACGACGCATAGCAGCGGAGTTGCAGCACGACGTTAATCTGCAATACAAAGAAATATATTCGAGTTATAGTATAGCTGCCGCTCGATCATAATGTACATAATCAATAATTAAAAACAATTATTGAATTATAATTTTCACTTTATCTTTATATTGTCTCTTTCGAGCAGACATTAGATAAAATAATTAATTATTATATGCATCTTTGGAGAAAATCGGCTTTTACAAAGAATTATAAATAAAATAAAATCTCTTTCTCTAATTCTGCGAATTCCCTCGCGCAAACGGGAACTATTGCCATCACTCGTGCAGAAATAGAATAACCCAAAAAAATGTATAATAAATCATTTACCCAGGGTTGCTCCGCCGGCACCTGATGCCTCTCCTCGGACCTCTTCCTCCTCTCAGTTTGTCAGATTGTTTTTTCACGATATTTGCACAATATTCACATGACCATTTGCGAAAACACCATTATGATCGCACACTGATAATCGGACTACGATCCGCGCGCGGTATGTATGTATGTACACACATACATACTATTATCACGTACGTACATATACACTTAAATTAATTCCGCGGATTACCCGCTCGCAATTAATTTTTACGATCGGATGGCGATACTTTTCGCGACACTCCCGTACGTAACGTGACTTGACGATGGCGCGTGGCATCGACGATAGGATAACGCACGAGAAGACGCGACCAGACGCGACGAGAACAATACGACGGATTTTTGAAAATTCGGCGACGCGCGGCCAACTTCATACCAACGCCACCGCGGCTGCACCTACACGCACCTTTCGCACTTTTCAATAGCGAACAGTATATGAACAGGGTGTAAGAAAACACCATGATATATGTATAAATATATATATATGTATTCACGTTTCAGGATGTTTATTATTCTCTCGTATCGAAGATGGTAAACGCAAATGAATGAACGTGGCGTATAAGAAAGATAGAGATGCCCGCGGATGTCCGTGGAACGCGATGTCAGGAAATACGATTATATCGCTGCCTTGTCTGCAACTGCTTGCGCGACTTTATTAGGAAGGAAACTTGCAAAAACACACTCGTCTCGAACAACGAGCAGACTTTCGACAAGCGGAAATCGTACGAATGTCAAATCTATATGCCACGCGATGATATATATTAGGTAAAACGCGAGGTTAATTATGATATATTTAATCGGCAGTTGACCGCTTCCGCGCCTCCGTCACCGCCGCCGGTTTCGTATCCGCGATATTTCCGCGACTCTCGTTTCGGCACTAGCCTAATGGAGAAGGTAAACAGGTGCTGCCAATCTCAGCATTCTCAACCTTAACTATCGATCGATATCGATCGAACACAATCGACAATCGATGACGTCAAAAATCGAATAAGAACCAAACGGAGCGAAATCGCAATTATCTTTTGAAAATTATAATGTATGAAAACTGTGAATAATTGTGCATACATACGTGCAGTGTAGTGCAACGAAATTGCAATATTGAAAATAGATATGTATTGCAATAAATCGATGCATCTCTTATTATCATCGAGCCATGTACGCCACTCTGCGTTCTCAATCGGACCGGGTATTTGAATCGCGTCGCGAAAGATCCAAGACACGACATGAATGTATTTATATTCAAGCAAAATATACTAAAGATATAATTATTAAAGATATATTTATTAATATAAAGATATAATTTATAGATAAAATATCTGTGTTAAAACGATAACAATTATACAGTTATCGGACTTGATCCCTTCGATTTGTTTAAATGACATATGAATGAATTACGCGTCATGTCTCTCCTTCAATAAATGGGTTCGTCATCTCGATATCTTGAATTAATATCTACATCTGCCGATTAAATTGTTGCTGCATCGTATATTGAACAAATGCGCTTATCATTCGTATTCGCGTATACTCGCGATTAGTTCGAACAACACGACATACAAAACGTTAAACTGTTACACAGACACACCAATGATTCGTATTCGGTAGACGCTGGTTTACCTGTGTAATTAGCACACGCTACGCCGAACCGTTAGTGGAACTTGTACGTGATCAAACACAGTACCATTTACATCGAAATACTTTTCGTCTATGCGAAGAACGAATGTGTCAAACGACAACAAATTTTCTTTTTTTTTTCGGTCACAAGTTTGTTGCATACTAATTTTCTTGATTAATCGTATAAGCTGCAGTATTGTAGATTAACTTATTTTACTTACATACAAACTCTATATTTATATTGACACGATTACGTATGAAATGATACTACAAAAATGAATGAATAAAAAATTTTATTGTCAGTATTTAATCTTGTAAAGAAAAATATATAAATAATTTACATTTGTTACTCGCGATTAGTTATATAGACAAGATATTAAAACTATGCAACATTGTATTAATTATAATTAACATTAAACTTTCGATTCTTCCTAAAGAATTTATGAATTTTAATGGAAAAATCAATAATATCAAACCTTTTATCATATTAAATCATTTAATACATCGTAATTGATTAATTATTGGGACTGAAATAATAGCGTAAAATTCTATGTCGCAGAATGACTTTGTTTTTCTTATATCTAAATATTTATATGTAATTTTAAACTAAAATTATTTTCTAATAATAAAATAAATAAATAAATAAATTACAATTCTTTGTTAATAATAATAAATGTCGCGCTTTCCGTCTCATTTATGGGTATACAAATGAATGTTTTTCTTAATTACAAACTTTCACAATAATTATATATAGAAATCATCATTCGAATCTATTTATTTTTGCTACATGGTTGAGCTGATTATTTCGAAAGTATGGTGTAAATCTAGTTCTACATTCCAATCCATTTTAACGTACGAGCAGCGAAATGAACTAAAACAATATTGTGATTTTATCAAGATATCTGAAACTGGTTTTACAACACTTTCGAAAGCTAACGATCAAATTTATTATTTATATAAAGACTTTGATCGCGATTAACAGATATTAATTTCACTGGACCAGAACCAATGGAATTGATCAAGTAAGTTACATTCACTTGATACGAGATAAACAAAAAACGGAAATAAGCGATTTTCTACTCATATCTTTACCCGCAGTAATCGGTGCACATTCATTAGCTCTACCGAAATTACGACGGATAACGGTACACAAAATCACCTAAAAAGCCTCTCGCGCAATATCGACAGATTCAGATGGCTGAATCATTCACGGCTAATCCGGATTGTCACATTATAAACGAGTTCACTAATTCATAAATCTTTGAAAAAAAAAGTATTTGATATTATTGTAATACATAACGTAGGATTTAAAACAAAACAATGTTTGTTCTACTTTCATAACATTAACAATATTTTTTCGTCCATATCTTTTATACAAAGTTCATTAAGTTACTATATATGTGTACTATTTATGTTTTACCTTTTTTTTTATTTTTATATACTTCGTATATAAAATTTATCATTCAATATGAGTCTTAGTATAGGTAATAGCAATAAAATATAATCAGAAAATAAAATAGTTTTTCACAACAAATGCATTAAAGTACATATTATCTGAATTTTGTTAATTCAGACGCAGAATTAGTAAAGAAATATTATATATTGTCATAATTTGGAGCGATTTTGTTGAAATAATTATTTTAAAAGCATATCTTTTATTTCAACATAATTTCTGAAACGCATTCATTGCCATCGAACACTGTCGAAACGCGCAATCAGACTGAAAGATATCTACTTCAGAAAATATCAGGTACAATCAAATCATCATCTCCGTACTCCTCATTGTACTCCTCGGCTCCGGGCGGCACGAAAATTCCGCCGAGTACACCCGAGAGATTTTCACCCAGCCCCATCGCTGAAGCTACCCCGAAGACCAATCTCATCACCAGCAGCCGCATAAAATTTACCACATTGGTCTCCTTGCTCTGCAACGACAGCTGAGTCGTTTTCTTCGATCTGCTATCTGCATACCGAATCTGTGAATTATATAATAATTTTCGAAATATTGTTAAAACGCAATTAAAAAGCTCTTTGCAGAAAAAATAAATAAATTCAAATATAAGACAACTCGTATAATCCGATGTCGATTGATCAAACAAAATTTACTTATAAAATACGTGTCGATTATAAATATTGTATAACGATTAATATAATTTGAATATATTATTAAATATCATCGATGTGACACCTGATATGAAGACGACTGGACGAGACTCAAAGAAACAAAAAAAATTTGCGAAAATTTGTACTCACGCTCGTGCAGATGAGCAAAACACCTAACAAAACTATTCGGGCTCTCATGCTGCGGCTGTAGGTGCGCACGATAAGTATAATAACTTCCGGCCGGCGACGGCGGCGACGGCGGCGACGAGGGAGCCGATCGCGATCGGCTGTGTGACTGGGCGGATGGCGATCGGCGTTTATCCAGGAAAACGACGTCGCGGTATTTGCATAGGCATCGAGCGAGGCATCCGCGCGCGCGCGATGAACGACCTATCGCGCCACGTTCGCCGAACAGAACTGAGGAAAATCGAATCGCGAACGAGCGGCCAGTCTCCGCGCGAGAGTCGGCCTTTTTTTCCACCACACCACAACGCGCGCTGCCGCGTGCCCTGTCTTGAGAAGAGAAGAGAAGAGAAGAGCAGAGAAGCGCGCGCGCCGCGCGGCATAGTCGAAACCCGCGCCATGACCCGCTCCCCCGACTGGCCAAGCGAAATCGACGCGTCGTCGATATACACACCGACTACGAGATCGCAGAACCTGAGTTATTCTACGATAACGGTACATCACGAAAAAAAGGCATCCAGGCCAGTCTCGGCTTCGCGCGTCGTGCGCCATAAGGTTGGACGCCAGTCATCGGACGCCTCGGCAGCCTCGCTTCGCGTTGCGATGTCCGACATGCGCGTTTATCGCTACATCACGCGTTTTCACGCTAGATCTAAGCAAATACCATTATCCAGCGCAATCATGGCGAAATTTTAACGGCTATGTGTTGTTTAGCGAAATCTCAAGAAATACAACACTCTATACCTCCAAGTATTATTATTGTTAACTGGCAATTTGTCATTTTTTACGAGATCTGAAGATAGGATTACTTAATAGAACATAACTATTTTATTGTTATTAACAAAAATGTAGCAAAATTTGATTGCATTTTTTGTAGCTAGAGAAAGAATTTATCATTTAATATAAGTTATAACGAGAACTGTGAGATTTGGAAAACGTACGTACGTATAGTATACAAAACTGAATAAGATGGAATACGGATGAGATAAAAACTAAAATACAAAAAAAAAGGTGTAGATTTATTATTATTATTAGTAATTTATTAGTTTAGTAGATATTTTAATGCTATATATTTGAATTTACTTATTCAATAAGATATAAACATTTGCGTCATGATGGTGTTTGTGCAGCGATATTCTCGATTTATGTATTCTACTATTCTCGCCGATTAATCTCTATCTATAATCTTACTTAGATTATTATCAACCCTGTACTGCTGGCCTGCTTCCTACGCGGGAAAATGATGCGCGGGAGATCCCGAGGAGCTGCACGCTGTTAGAAAACGCACGAGAAATTAGCCTGAATCGTAAGCGCCGATGAAATCTGGCACGGATCGTTAACCGGCGCATCATCCATTCGTGCCGTATATTACGCGATGTGTTACGAAATTTTTTTGCCCATCGTAATAACGCTAGCCACCATTCTCGCGACTATCTTAGATATCTATACTTGAGAAAATCATTTACGATTCGAGCTACTTGGAAGATATGTCTACTATTAACAGAACTCTGATAATTATAGTGAATTCATTTCGTCTTTTTTTTTTCTATACACTATTGCGATGATTTTTGAAGAATTTGCATTATACATTTAATTAAAAGAAAAAAAAAAGATACAAAAAAATTCTATGAACAATGCAGAGTTATCGCGGATTTATTAAAATAATTGGTCCGCTGAAAAGAAATAAGAAATAAGAAATTAGTACCTTGAATTTAAGGTACTAGATAATACACGAGTAAGAGTGTAGTAGTGTAGTTTTCTCATAATTACTAAATAATTATAAATAAAAAGTGGTGCATTGTATCACGTACATTATTATGGATGATAAAATTCTTTATAATGAAAAATTAAATATTGTTTATTGCGATTATTGTATTATTTTATTTTCAATCTCGATATAGCGATGCTGTGTTTAACTTTTGCGCTGACAGACGCGCATACTTGATGAGCGATTATGCGTTCATCAGTAATCGAATGAAATAAAAAGCTGTCCGTAAATGGTGGAATGCTCGATTCGTGAATGTCGATACCGGCTGTGACGTCCGATCAACGCCTATAAAATTGAAAGACAACGACAACGGTGACGATAACAAAGAAAGTGCGACATAGAATTTCCTTCAGATTCGATCGTCGATCCGTCTTGACGACAAACCACCGATGAAAGACAGGATGCGACCGGGACCGGACGTAACAAACTCGGCATACGCAAACAGTTCCAGAAACGAAGGAAATACCTCGGTCATCATCGTCGTACTGCAATGACTTTACACCCTGTTATCAAGATAATGCCGCAAAGTATGACGTGCCTTCTAAGTCAACTGCTAAAATAGCCATTGTAACAAGTAACGCATTAGATGTCCACGAAGTCTTGTTTGTGCTTTTTGCAAAGATTTTTCATGATATAATTTTAATCTAATCTAATTTTTTCTTACGAAATCACAATATCAAATTTCATATGTGACGTTTATATAAAATTGGAATGCCTAGCTTATTTTAATCTTTCTTTGTAATTACTTCCGAAAAATAGTTGTTATAAAAGATATCTCGAATCAAAATTATTCTATTAATTCTTGAAGAGTTGTAGAAAATATAGAGATCATCATAATCATACAGATCGCGGAGGACACTGACGTGTAATTACGGTATAACAATAAATGTAAATTTGACGGAACAATAAAGTCAATATCGACCGATGTGTCTTTTTGCTATTAGCAGGAACATACATATACATGTACATACATACTACAAACGGTGGTAAAACGTTTGCAGAGTTCATAGACTTCAGCTGGGACATTATCTCACTCGAGCAACAGCTTGTCAGAGTATATAGGTACTATAGGTATACATGCTGCATTGCGGAATTAAAGCACATTTTCCATACACATTCCACGGGAATACCTATCATTGGAGAAACTAGTTTATGCTAAAATTCATATTGTAGCATGTGTGCGCGCGCGTGTACTTACAATCATTTTTACATTAAGTCTTCAATTTCAATTGACCGCGTAAATCAGCGAGTCGAGATTCACCGCGCAATCATTTGCAATTATCGCGAACGCGTCATTAGATCCGATGTCTTCCATCTGGCTCAGTTCGGAAACTTAAAAATCGGTAATCCGTTATCGTCTCCCTTTCTCTCTTTCTCTTCCTCCCACTCCCCCTCCTCCCTCTCTCTTTCTCGCTCGCTCTCGCTCTATTTTGTTTTGTATTAGGTACAATTTCTAATGATAACAGAAACGATTAAAAGAATTCAGTAATGATGATAGTTATGTCAGTCGCGGAATATTGATCGTTATTGGCAGAAGATCGTTTACAGCTCTTCGTATATCGCATGGCAATACGGTACATATATATCGTCAGGTATTGGAACAATAGGTCGTACCATCCTCCTCTGATTTACCCGCCATTCAGTTTCCTCCTTTACGCCTCGCATCCTGCAAGAGAGACGGCTCCAGGTCGATCCTCTCTCTGTCAGTGCATGCTTTACCTTCGTGCATGACACTTTGTTTGAACCTCGCGTCGTATTCCGCTCGGCGCTCCGTTTTATATAAATAAACTGCTCTTAAACTGCTTAATCTCTCGTATTTTCATAAATTAACTAATAATTCTTAAATTATTTTTCTGATATAAACTAATAATTTTACATGTTGTATATAAATTAAAATACATTTTAATTTCTCTAATATGTCACAAATAGAGCGAATATTCGATACAAACAAGGAACAATATTTAGCTAAATTTCCTTTTAAAATCGCTTATTCTAATGTTTGTAAAGAAATAAATAAATGTGATTGTAAGAAATTTTAAATTGAGGTGCCTGTCGCACACTTTTAACGGGCAGAGTTTTGATCATTGGGTTATCAAGGGTTGATGTGGAGAGATGCTCACGATGAATGCGGAGGAAACTAAAGTGGGCTGCTTTCAAATGGTGTTAGTGCTGCTACTCGGAATAAACTATGTCATCGTTGCCATGAGTCACGCGTTGCCGGTTTTTCATAATTACACACCAAAATTTTATTGTCAGGTAAGACGGAGTGTGAAATGAGTTTGAAAGAAATCAAAATTTTTATTTTTGATGTGATATAAGCCACAGCTATTATTTAATTTAATTCAGTGACGTGAAATATACATGAATTAAATCTATAAATGAAAGAATGTTAATTTAAGTCGGTGTTAATATGTTAATTTAAAAAAGCATTTAAATATTAACATTTTATATTTTAAAATATAAACATAAAAATAAGAAATATAAAATATAAAGAATAAAAAAATTGTATCATATTAAATTAAATATAGCACAATTTTAAATCTTTAGAATTTATATTTCCTTTTCAATTATATTAGTTTCACATCAAAATGTAAATTATTGAAAAAAGAATTATAATTTAAAAAAAGAAAAAAGAAAGTTTCTCACTCTTTAAAATACAATAATTTGATGTCATAAACAAACTGTTTTTGTATAGATGAAAGATTCAACGAACGAAAGCTTTGGCTGTCAAACCGCGGCAAATTCATCGATTGTTGCCAATTTAACTTTTGCATTGCCGGAAGTACCAGTGCTTACGTCCTGTTCCGGCGAATATCGCTTCGTAACGGAATTTACGGAGAACAGCGTAGTCACCGAATGGGGTTTAATATGCGAGAAACGGTACCTATCTGTTCTCGGGCCAGCTGTTTATTGCATAGGGGTGCTTTTGGGTGCATGGATTACCGGATTTCTAACTGATCGTATTGGCAGACTTCCGGTTCAAGCGATATGTCTTTACGCACAAGGCACGATGGCAGTCGCACTTTATATTGTGCAGGTAAAAAACTTCTAATCGATATGTTACGATTTAGAGATATAGCATTCAATTGAGAACTCAATTACATTTCTAAAAAAATAAAAAAATTAATTTTCTCAAACTTACAAAAAAGAGGCTTATTGTTAGATTGTTATTGCATTCAATTTTTCATAATATGATAAAATTATAATACGCAATTGATAGTCCTCTAATTAAATTAATTCTTAATTATTACTTTTTATTCATCGCGAGGTATATCATGATTGTTATCTTGCGAATAATCTTGCGATTTGAGATATTATGTGTTTAATGTGTGTGCAAAAAAAAAACAATATAAGTAGATGCGGTTATTTGTCCTACAATAAAACATATAACAATTAAAATTTAAAGATGTTAAAATTTACGAGTTTAGAGCTATCCTGCGTTTTTGGCGTTACGTGGTCTTCAAGGAGTATTCGTTCAGGGCTTGCAGAATTCTACATATATTCTCTCCCTGGAATTATTTCCAGCGCGATCTCGCACTCTCGTCGCATTGATTATGCAGATTTTCTGGTCGATCGGTCTCGTATTACTCGCAGTACTCAGCTACATGATTCCCGATTGGCGAATTTTGCAGCTGGCTATTTCTGTACCCACCGCGATCACAGTGCTATATATTTGGTAAGGAAAAAGAAAGGAGAAAAAAAAAGAGAAAGAGAAACGTCAAGCGTCCAATCAATACAAAATTTTGTTAAATTATCCCAAAATTTTAAAATCTTCTAAATATCATATTTATGTAATTTATGATATTAAATAAATACAAAAGAATCTCTTCTAATATTACATCGTATATAACAGGATTATACCGGAATCGCCGAGATGGCTGCTGGCTAGAAGAAAATTAACAGAAGCCGATATGGCGCTTGAAAGAATTGCAGTATACAACAGCTGCTGCATTGGGTTACGAAGAAAGAATATTCCTGTGCAAGAAGCATACGTGAAAAGTGACACAACACTAATAAAACCGGAGAGGAAGTCGCGTGTCACTAGCGTCGAACTTGAAAAAGTGAGGACTGACGAAAATCGGCGAGAGGAAGCTACGAATTTGTTAAACGAATCGGAACTAACTAAACAAAAAATTATAGGTAAAAATAATAAACACAATGTATATAGATACATCATTTTTGGATAATACAAATATGATGCAATAATATGAAAATTATTTTAGAAAGAACTTTGAAAACAAATTCGACGAATTCGGAAAATAAATTTGCTAATGTAGAATTACACCAAGAGACGCCAAGTTCAACGAAAAATTTTGACAAGAGACACTTGCCTTCGGGTTCGAAATGCGATGAAAAGTCAAAGATGATTACACAACCAAAGTGCGATCGAAGGATTTCCCTGAAAGGTACAGAGGAAGTAATGTTACGTAGACTAAAGACAGAAAAATCGAATGAAAATGAAGAGAAAACGATCAAGAGAAATAGTGTCAAAAAACAGGCCACGAACAAGATAAACTCAACATTCGAAAACGCAATCAAATCGCCGATATTAAAAAAATACGGTGCTATAATGATTTGTCAATGGTAAAGTATATTAAAAAATGATTTCTTTATTCCTTCCTTTGATATCTCCATTTATTTTTATTCTTCAAATGCAATAATGTTTTAAAATTTTAACTTATGGTTTTATTTAAGGTGGACATCTGCAATGGCGTGCAGCATACTTGATGATTTGACACCGAGTTTTCTGAATAATAGGCACATCACGTTCGCCCTGGGTGCAGCTCTCGAAGTGGCGACGTATACATTTATATACTTTGTACTATCTAAATACGGTAGACGGCTGCCAATGTGCGCATACCAATCTCTCAATGGCATTGTTTGTATTTTAATTGCGGCTATCTTCATGTTAATCACTGTCATTGCACCATGGACTGGTATATAAGACAAAGAAAATGTAAAACTTTACTAAACCTTGAAGTATTGCAGATGTTTTTGACACATATGAGGCTTTTATTTCAGATCTCGCAAAGACGATAATGTTGCTGTTTGCCAAAGTGACTATTACAAGTACTCTTTCTATTGCCTATTTGTACACTGTTGAAATATTCCCAACAGTGATACGAGGTAGTTGCTTAGGTCTATGCGTGGTATTCGCAAAAATCGGCAGTTTAAGCATGCCGCATTTACTTTTATTGGTACGTTATTTATTTTTCCCATTCGAAAAACTTTCTATCTATATATATCTGTAGTTTTCTTAAGTGATACCTTTTAATTTTTATTATTTCCGATTAATCAAGAATCGCTAATTATAAGATTAGCTAATCAATAGTCATTAAAAATACAAATAATTTTTTTAATTCTTTATTAGAGACAACATGTATCACTTCCGATACTGTTACTTGTTGTTGGAACGTTGTGTCTCGTCTCTGGTGTATTGGTTCTGATTTTACCAGAGACATTGAATAAAATTCTACCTGACCAAGTGACGGATATAGAGAAACGTGTAATCAGCGACAGTTGCAAGAGTGATAATACCAATATCTATATAGATAATAAATATGATATAAAGGAAGAAAAAGAAGAGGCAGAGAGGCAAATTCTAAGAGAAAAACTCTTTTCAGAGGACTGGGTAGATGCTGGCAATGGAATTTTGGTGAATTTCACAGAGAATAAAAATATCGAGTGATTTATAAAATAAAATGACTTTGTATTTAAAATTATTATACTTGATGAAACATATTCAATTAATTTTATTCTTACGAAATCCTCACGTAAATTATTCGCCCGCAAAATAACTTTAATAAAACTTTTGTAAACGTTACAAAACAATAACAATTGTCAATAATCAAGCCAGCCACGTCCGCCAAGAGCGAGTACAATTCTTATAAATCTCTGGGTATTTAATAAATGCTCGTTATCTCCAAAAAATCGATTTTTATTTGTCGTTTAAAGATTTTTACCTGTGATTCGATATGCAACTGATCATTTAAAGAGCAGATTCTCACAGAGCATATTACAGAGATATACTATTATATTTAGGTATACACTTGCAACAATCATAATGTAATAAGATTGATTAGGAAAAAATAAATTGTGTATTATATTATCGACGAAAATATTCTTTTCTTCTAATTTCTTTAATAAATAATTTATTTGCATTTATACAAGAAAGAAATGTGATTCAATGACATGTAAAAATGTGAGAAAATTTATGAATTATCACAGTCAAGCAATAACAAACTAAATTAATCGATTCCCGTGTAAAAATCTATCGTATTGGAAATGACATATAAGATATGGACTGTATCTCCATAGACACATATAGAATAAATATAAAATTACAAATTTAGGGAACCTTAGGTTGAGCGATACCATTGTTTTGAGAATTGGTGTGTTGCGTTTGCTCAGCAGCTGTTTGCAAAAGTCTTGTCCGACGTCTTGTATAATGCTGCCACAGTAGAATCTGCTGATCGTCAATAAACTTTGTACATTGAGCATTCACAACTTCCCTTCTAAAGTGCTCATATTGCAATAAATCCAGAAAATACAAGCACATAGGATACTTCAAATACTTTGCATATTCTGGTTCTTTCCAGTACAATAGATATTTGAGATAATTAATAAACGTCATATCTTTGAAGTAGCCACGTTGTGCCAAAACTAGAAATACATATATCATGATTAAAACAAATTTCTCATTTAAAAACTAAGTAAGGAACGCAAAGATCACTTTTGCTTACAATTTAAGTAATTTGGGTTAGCGAGGCATTGTACAAACTCTAACTCAACTTGAAACCGTAATCGCTGCTGATCATCTGTCTCCGGAGCCCCTAAAATGTAAATTTTTAGCCGTTTTTTTCTTGTTACGAAATGAGAAAAACTCATCAATTAACTTTGTAGTGTGATCCGCAAATCGGTTATTATAACTCTAATCAGCAAGTTAAAACAAAAATATTTCATAATTAAAAATGTTAGTGATTTGTTGAAATTTGTTTCAATCAATGTATTAAAAATTATAAGCTACATATATAATTTGAAGAAGATAGGTTAGGATAGAGTTGTGCTCTCTAAACAAAACTAATAATGTACCGTTCATTCCAATGAAAGATGGTTTTCTGCCTTTCATGAGTCCTGGCGGATCATCCAGTCGGTTCATAGTACATCAACTTCTGTCGAATATTTGATACTTATTGCTCTTACGAATATACGAAAATGCAATCCACTATCCAGTACGAAATGGAATTATCATATTGAACTGACAACTGAATTGGTCAACACAACGCCGATCGCAGCGCCAACACTGGGAGACTAGGAAACTAATGCGCATAGTTTAAACGAGAGCAATTAGCTGCGTTTATATAATGTTCATATACACAAATATATATGACTCGTTTATATAACTTATTTATTTCTTTTATGTTTTTATATATAGAGTTTACATAAATTATTATTTAAATGAATTAAAGTTGTAATTGTGTAATTTTGAAATTAATTTGATCAATTATATAAAATGATTTTGTTTCTACAGTATTTATAAACAGTAATTATTTACGATTATTAAAAACTATGTTATATATAGTATATAATATATGCACGTTCATAACTTGTTTTACGTGCAAAAAACATAATGATGACAAACTTATATAACGTACATATACAATGAGAAGAAAAAGTAACAAAGTTAAAGAAAAATATATATCTGTCTAATGCTATAATAACAGCGAGTTATCAGACTATAATTTCTGTCAAGCTGTCAAAAATTTTAAATCGTGATTACAGCTGTAGTGAATCTAAAATCATATGTTAAAGTATGTACCTATCACTATATATACACCTATATCACTATATTCGTGTTATAAAATGCAAATCTTCGTATATTATAGTCACGTGTAGTGGCATTATCTTGAAAAGTCGTTGTATAACAATCAAGTTCTTTAGTCAAGTGCCAACCAGCAAGCAAGTATCCTTTTCGTCTCGAGTGTACTTAAAAAGGCAATTTCTTCTATCTTAATTATTTTAATATAAATATTTTTTTCTAAATATCATATATATTTTCTAATCTAATTTTTATAATGTTTTCCAATTAACAGATAACGTTTTTTAAATATTTATTTAATAATTTACGCCCCTGGTTGGGACGTGACTTAAATATTAATTAAAGATATTTATCTTTGTAATACCAAATTGCAATATGGTATTAATAATGTTTTTCATTAAATTTGATCAGGATATAACATCTTAATTTATATAAAAGAGACACACTGGATAACACACTGTGTGTTACAGTAAAATTCTCTCTGAAGTACGATCATACGTTTCTCGAAAATTTTTTCGCGCTGAACACGATGCCATTTGAAGAATTCGCTTAGCACGTCATTTTGAGTAAATTGGAATAAAAGTGACAAAAATGGTGACTTTTTGGTCACTTTTAACATTTTCTTGCGACACAAAACGAAAACTGGTTTCTAAAATGAACCCAACGGCATCTGAAAGTTATATCATTCAAGAACTTTCAAATGAACTTTGATTCTCTCCGGAGTGCGACCATATCCATTTCTCGAAGATTTTTTCGCTTTGAAAACGGTACCATTGACAGAATTCGCCTAGCATTTCAGGATTTGAAGTAAATTGGAATAAAAGTGGCCAAAAACGTTATTTCACTTTCATTCCAATTTACTCAAAATCCTGATGTTCTAGGCGAATTCTGCCAATAGCATCGTGCTCAGCGCGAAAAAATCTTCGGGAAATGTATGGTCGCATTTCAGAGAAGGAAAAAAAGTGTTCCTTGTAACGCAATGTATGAAAAATCTAAAAAAAGTATACAATTTAAGCAGCCATAACTTGATAAAAAAAAGTCGTACGGTCAGAAACCAAAGTTCGTTTTAAAGTTCTTGAATGAAAAAAATGCCGTTGAATTTATTAAAAAACCAGTTTCCGTTTTATCGCACAAAAATGTTAAAACTAACCAATAAATGCCGCTTTTGGCCACTTTCATTCCAATTTACTCAAAACCCAGATGTGCTAGGCGAATTCTTCAAACGGCATCGTATTCAGCGCAAAAAATCTTCGGAAAAAATATGGTCGCACTTCGGGAGAAAGAAAAAGTGTTTATTTTTTTGTTGCACAGTGTAATTTAGATAATGTTAGATCAGTTTTAAGTGTTAAAAAGTATATTTTTTGTATCAGTGTAGAAGATTGTACAAGTACTATGACGCTGATCAAGAGAATTTCCTACGATGAGGAAAAGAAGAAAAATCCCGAGTTGAAAGATTCCGATATACAAATTTTAAAGGATTGGTGCATGAAGCAGCCGCATCTTCCAAAAATTTTAGACGTTGAATACGTATTGTTTTTGCACAGTAATTACTACCGTATCGAGGCTGCTAAGAACACCATCGAAGAATATTATACTTCCAGGACTCACATGCCAGAATTTTTCTCCGATAGAGATCCACTTGGAACAAAGCAATTACGAGAGGTATTTAGAGTAACGTAAGTATTATAATATTTGTTATACATTCAAGTATATTTTAACGATGTATTCGTAAATAAATGTTGATAATTAATATAAAATTCTGAGATATATAATTCATCTAATAAGGTCTCATATTTAAACGTATCTCTTTTATTTCTATATAATAATACGTCTAATTGTAAAACAGAAATTCGTATTATACATAATATCTAAAAGATAAAATAATAAAAAGATATAAAAGGAGCTGCAGTAAAGCGTACCTTGACAGATATGAAAAAAATTAATCAATCCAATATTATGCATTAAACAATTAAATTTATTTATATGTATATTTATATATAGGGCGCAGATGACATTGTCAATGCCAACAAAAGAAGGATATAAACTTGTTTATACGAGATTAATAGATTATGAACCATCACATTTTGTTTATAACGACATTATGAAGTACTTTTCTATGATAGTTGATTTGTGGCTATACACTGAAGGAACCGCCGAGGGCCATGTAATTATTATAGACATGGCAGGTGTTACCTTCGCCCATGCTGGTCGTCTCAGTCCATTAGGAATTAAGAAATATCTTTATTATTTACAAGAAGCTATACCAATTAGACTTAAAGGTCTGCATTTTATTAACACCAATGCAGTCATGGATATTATTTTGTCGATGATGAAGCCCTTTATGAAGAAGGAGTTAATGGAAGTGGTAAGAACAATAAAAATATTTTATATTAAATATGAATAAATTACATAATGTATGTGAATAAAAAAATGCTTTGCCTTTCACTTAATTCCGGATTAATTTTTTTTCAAATTTAACTAAATACTTGTTTGCTAAAAATATATTTCACATTAAGAACTAAAAGATAAGTATAAATATTGAATAAAATTTTCTCTAAAAAGAAATGTATTCAATTATTGCCTGAAATTTTTTTAATAGATATACGACACTTTTTATATAATATATTTTCAACATATTTTCAGTTACATATTCATCCCACCCCGAAAGACACGCTGGGAAAGTTTATGCCATTGGAAGCATTTCCATGCGATGTAGATTTAGGTGGGAAAGCTAGACCGTACGAGGAACAACAGGAGGAGCAATTAAAAAAGCTGGAGGATCATCGTGAATGGTTTCTACAAGACGAAGTTACGGGTCGTGTAAACGAAGCATTAAGAGTAGACAAAAGCAAGACGATGGACATGTTCGGGGTCGAAGGAAGTTTCAAAAAATTAGACATAGATTGACTTGTTAAATTTATGTCAAAAACGTTACCATATAAAATATTGCTTATTGAGAATGTTATCTCATTCAAAATTTCATTATAATTCGTTCATTGATAATTGATGATTTTGCATAAACGGCATATTTGTTTACTTCTCTCAAAGATTATAAAAATTTTATTCATAAAAAAATAATAAATATACGATCCATATGATAGTCACGATACAATATGTATTAAAAAATAAAAAATCTCTAGAAAAATATTAATTCATATAAATTAGTATTTAAAATGTTTAATAACATGTCTTAATTTCAAATAGTATAATCTATATATTTTATTAAAATATTGAATAATGTTTTTAAACACTAACATATATCCGGCAGATATATGCAGGTAAAATTGCAATATCATCTCAGTTTTGCTTACATAAGATTCAATTTATGTCCACAAACTTTCGCAAACTTTCTTATTCAAAGTCTTAAACTTTGACATTTTAATTACTAGACGTACTACTCTTACAACGCAACCTGTCAAGTGCAATATTAACATAGAAATCGAAAAGTGGGTTTCTTTCAATTACGTTTTTTATAATTGTAAATCTTAATAAGTGCACTCATATTAGATCTACCTAATGCACGGGATATATAGCTACTTTGTGCATAGCACGCATATAGTAGATTTATTTAGTCGAGTTCTAACAATCATTTAACGCGATTCCATCGCAATTTAATACGTATATAATATTAAAGTAATGTAATATATTAATTCTATATAAACTAATGTTGCTGCGTTTACTATCTATGACCTACACTGAGAACTTTCTATTCAGGCCGTCTTTAATATTTTAAATATAAGTTATCACGATGTATCATATTATGGTACATACATAATTCTAAATAAACAGTCGGACAAAAACGGCGCGATACGGAATGTATTAACACAGCAAAATTTATGTATTGAATATAAATGAGATTACAAGAATGCATGACCAACAATAACTTGTTGTACAAGTAATTATAAAGTATACGTCAATATCTTTTTTGCTTTAGGTAACAATGCTCAACTACTTGTAAAGATATATAGATTCTGATACATTTTTTGCGCGCTTTTTACGCAAATAGAATATTGTAGTTTTCATGCAGGAGCGCAATATGAAAGTAATCGTTCTCGGCGTGTCGAACGCTCAAAACGTTTGAAACGCTCGGACATTCTCCTTTAGAAATCAGTGTGTAATCGACGTATCGCGTGCGCAGTAGCGATATTCTGTGCTGTGTTACCAGTATTTGTAGGACAGATCCACCTGTGAATAACCGGTTAAAGAACAACACCGATCAAGGTAGATTAACATGATTTAATTTTTCTCTAACTTAAAATATCATTTCAACTTCCGCAAACAGTTAAGCGTACTAACTATGGAAAGTGTACTGTTTAAAACCATGAATGAAAAAAAGAGTTGATATGTACCGTTGACATTAAGTATAAGTAATTTTAATAAATAATTGTGTTTAAATGCATCCACTTAAAAACTGTATTATTAATTATTACATACTGTGTTTTTGGATTTAAAAAAATATGTGCACAAATAAAAAAGTATATAAATATGAATAAGACAATATGTATGAAATGCAAAGGTTTTTTTAAAATGCCACGTCTCAGTAATATTTCATAAATTGTAAACAATTATAATTAACGCCACCTGTCCATTAAATAATTTATATTTTTCTAAATTGTTTGCTTATTTCTGCAGCCCTTTTTTATCGTTTTTAACGAATTTATAATTCTCAACAGTACACAGGCGCGCGCGCGCTCATGTACAATCGTGGACAGATCGGTTGCGACACTTCTTTTATAGGTTTCTAATATATATTTAATATAAGTACATAATATTTTATAGGTAACTGATATTTTACAAATGCGAATCACGATTGGTGTTATACTACATACTATCTTTATATACTATCTTATATACTATCTTTAGTCTAGAAACAATATAACATCAATCGTGATTCGCAAAATATTAATGCGTTTTAAAACCTATAAAAAAAATGTAACCAAACTGTCCACGACTGTACATATATTGCTTATATTAATAATATATAAGCAATAAAAACGTAAAAGTTACATGTCTACATATGACGATATACAGAAAAAACAAATATAAATTTTAAAGAATTTTTACCCATATGCTTGACCTATCCTGATTATTAAAAAA